TCAATGGTCTCGTTAGATAGTAAAATTTATGTTAAATTGCTGTTTTTGCAGTTGTTTTTAAAAGTCTGGAACGGATTAATCCATTTTGCATTACGTTCTATTGGAAAGTGTGCCTTGCTTTTGGAACGCTTTGGTTTTGGAACGGACTTCCAGAACGGATTAAGTTTAAGAACCAAGGTACCAGTGTGTGTGTGTGTGTGTGTGTGTGTAGGCTGGGGTGAGGTGAGTAGCGGCCCAGGAGAGGGCCTTCTTGGTGGCAGCCCCTAAGCTATGGATCTCCCTCCTCACAGAGGTGCATCTATCATCTTCATTCTCCACCTTCCAACGAATGCTGAAGATGCATCTCTTTCCCCTTTGCTTTTGACACTTGAGATGTATGTTTTTAGGACCCACCTTGCTTTGGTGATTTTAAGTTAATTAAAACAGTTTTTAGTATTATGTTTTAAAGTTCTAACCCACCCTGGAACCTCAGGGTGAAGGGCAGGTAATAAATAAGTACAGTGGTACCTCGGGTTAAGTACTTAATTTGTTCCGGAGGTCTGTTCTTAACCTGAAACTGTTTTTAACCTGAAGCACCATTTTAGCTAATAGGGCCTCCAGCTGATGCCGTGCCGCCGGAGCATGGTTTCTGTTCTCATCCTGAAGCAAAGTTCTTAACCTGAAGCACTATTTCTGGCTTAGCAGAGTCTGTAACCTGAAGTGTATGTAGCCTGAAGCGTATGTAACCCGAGGTACCACTGTAAGTAAGTGCAAGGTGGGTCCTCTGAGAAGGGCACTCTATAAATTGGGGATGCAATAACAAAAAAGGTCATCTCAAAGGAGCTCAGAGAAAAATATCAGGGTCTAGGAAGCTACATGTGGTAAGAAGTGATCCTTGGTGTACCATGTTCTCACATGATAAAGAACTTTGGGTTTTTTGTCATAATGTTTTGGTTTTCCTAGGTAAAGGTAAAGGTACCCCGACCGTAAGGTTCAGTTGCAGACGACTCTAGGCTTGCGTGCTCATCTCGCTCTATAGGCCGAGGGAGCCGGCGTTTGTCCGCAGACAGCTTCCGGGTCATGTGGCCAGCATGACTAAGCTGCTTCTGGCGAACCAGAGCAGCATACGGAAACGCCGTTTACCTTCCCGCAGGAGCGGTACCTATTTATCTCCTTGCACTTTGACGTGCTTTTGAACTGCTAGGTGGGCAGGAGCTGGGACCAAACAATGGGAGCTCACCCCGTAACGGGGATTCGAACCACCGACCTTCCGATCGGCAAGCCCTAGGCTCTGTGGTTTAGACCACAGTGCCACCACATCCCATTTTCAGTTTTCCTACAGTTTAACAATTTTAACAATTTCATAGAATTTAACAAATTCAGTTTCAGTTCAATTTTCCATACAGTTAGGTGGCCAAAGCAGTTTCAGCACCTAAATTCTAAATGAAATGGATTTAGGAAAATCAGTTGCATTCCAAAGTGCCTTGAATTGGCCAGCAGACATTTCCTTAGGAAAGAGCCATTAGCCATAAACCAAAAGTTGTTCCAATATATGTTGTTTTTTTCAGGAGCAGCTATACTCCATTAAGGTAGCTAGGATCACCCCTCTGTCAACAAGGCATTTGTCAACTTCCTGCTAATAAACCAAGAGTGGAACATGCAAAGATGTCGTCCAGACTTGTCCAAGCATCTTGTCCCCATCCTCAGGCCTTCAGAACCGATAGTCAATCAACAAATAGGATCAGGCAGGGCCAGCCCACCTATGAGGCAAGGAGAGTCAACCGCAGGAGCAGCAGATTGGATGTTGATCTTTGTTCCCTCCTTGTTCCTGATGTAGATCTTCACTCAGCCCTTCTTCCCTGACAGGGTAATGGGGGCCTCAGGTGCCAAATTGTCTTGGGCCTGCCTTGTTCTGGACTAGGGATGCAGGAGAAATTCAACTTAGTTTGCATCTGAAAGCAAACTTGCCTAATTTGCCTTTTCTGAAATGCAATGCAAACTGAAGTGTGGCCTTCCTTCAAAATTAATTAATTAATTAATTAATTAATTTAATTAATTTTCCAAGTAAGCAATGAATGCACTGAGGCATATACTGGGGGTAAAATCTGCACACAGGTGCATGTATTGGTGAAAATAATATACCAAAAAAAAATCATTAGATGCAACCCTATTACCTGTATAGGGAAGCTTTTTAAGGTTTAAGGTTTTACTTTGTTTTTATATATGCTGGAAGCCACCCAGAGTGGCTGGGGCAACCCAGTTAGATGGCAGGGGTACAAATAAATTATGATTATAATTACAATTATGATCCATTTTCAACAGAGCTCAGCAACAGAAGTGCACAGTTGTACTGAGGCAGCACCGGGTGTTGAAATTATGCCCCCCCTAAGAATTTTGCACCCAGGGCAACTGCCCCTGTGCGCATCCCCCCCCCCAAAAAAGCTACGTCACCCCCAGAACCACTTCTATTTCACTTTCATTTTGGGGCAGGTCACACTTCAACACATCCTTGTATATACCTGTAAAGTATTCCTGGGGAGTTTTTTTGTGTGTTTTTTTTGCACCTCTTAGTTACTGAACTAAGGCAGATTCATCTACAAATTGTCACTGTATAGCAGATAAGAACTCCTGACTCCCATGGGAAAACCACCATTGGTACAAGATGTAAGCAAGGAGCAAAGCATGCCTTGTAATCATCTGGCAATTTGACTGAGACTAAGTGATTTACCGGGGAGGACCTGGTTGGTGGCAGCGGGCTAGTGGTGTACGGGTCAATAGTCCGTGAGATGATCGGGGGCTCTGTACGAATGCCACACATTGTACTTTCACACCTGGTTCACTGCACGCTATATTTTAGACTCGTGATCTGGCGAAACAACTCCCCCGTTGGACTGTTGAAGGAGGGTGGGAATGGGGAGCGGCAGATCTGCAAGCAGCTATTATAACCACATTTATAGAGTAACAAGTCACTGCCTAGTGAAAATTTCTACCCACACTCATCATCGGATTCAATGAAGAAACACCAAAATAATGAAAACAAGCTTTGTTTGAAGCAGGTTTTATATGAGGCAATTAAGAGGAAGCTAATGCCGAGCAAATGGTTGCATTTAATTACAAAGTAATTAGCAAAACTACTGTCATTCAGCTCATCTTCCAAATCCGCTACGTTATTTGCCCCTGTGGCTACTTATTAGTGAAAGCTTCCAATTTCCTTTTCTACCCTAAAGTGGAAGTTTCTGACATTTGGAACAAAATTGCAGCTACGTATTCCTCAAACTTCAAGGAAATATGTGTGTGTATACACACACACACTTTCATTCTTGAAAGGACGTCTCTGAGGACACAAGCTGTTTTAATTAGAAACTACCCCTATTTGTACTGCTCAACTGATACACGAGACAAAACCCTTCAAAATGTGCACTTCTCCACAATAATGAAGGACCAAATGATGTGCACAAAAACACATTGTACTGGAGGAAATGGCATTCAAATAGAAGTGTAGATCAGTCAAAACTGCATTCAAATATGTGTGCATTAGGAGACGTTTGCAATGAGACGACGAATCTTCGTGGGGATTTTTAAACAAAAATATGCACATTGCTGCGGAAGTGGGGAGAAATGGAACTTAAGATCAGAAAAAAAGAGAGAGAAACTGAGGGGAACAAACAAATAGAAGTAGCGGAAAAGAAGGAAGGGGGAGGGCAGCAAGGTGAAAAAATGGACAGGCCTTCTGCACCATTACTAGTTGTGCAGAAGAAGAGGTGATTTCAGTGGGTCTGCTTGCCATTTAAGCTTGTGATAGGAATTTTGAAGTCTTAGATATATGGTAATGTTCATAAGTGTACCAACCAAGCACATACATAGATCAGCACAGGAAGGCCAGCCTGGAACCATTTTGATTCCTAAACTGACCAAATCTTTTCTCTGCAAGGTCAAAATGGAAAAGCCTCCCCATTGTCTTTTCCTTCACAAATCCTGTCTTAAGGGTATGTGTTTGAATAGGGTGTGAGCCTGTGACATGGCCCAGGAACTAAGTATTTATCATTACAAAAGACTGGCCAGGCTCCCCAGGAAATCCAATCAAGTAACCTGCCAGACAGGAGATAAACAAGGGCAGGAGGAAAAAAACAATATTAAAATTTCTGTTTTAGACTGCCTTTTCTGTGATGTAGGTGTGATGTATCTGAGGGGTGGTCTTAGGTTACACCCCTTCTGTGATGTATGTATGATGTTTCTGGGGGTGGTCTTGATCTACAGGGTGGGAATTTTAAAAGTCTTTATAAGGCCTTGCATGCCATTTTTCTGGGTCCCTCCTCTCTCCTGCAGGTGAGGGGAGCACCCTGTTGCAACAGATCAATAAGGCCAAGCCTACAGGCTGCTGTTTTGCTCCAAATAATCCTGGTTGGTGTCTTTGTTTTTGTCCAAGGGAGCCCTCGGATTTTTCCTTTAACAAGCTACACCTTCTGAAATCCCCGCTTCTATGCAACTAGTAAGGGTACAGGGGTCCTGTCTTCTTTTGCATCTGGTCTTGCTAGAGTGGCAGTATAGATCATTAAGATCTCCATCTTCTCTGGGAGGACATTTTATTAAACTGGGTAGGATTCAGTTCCAAATCAGGAATCAGATTACATTATACATTATAATTGGTAAAGAATGAGCAGGGATGGGAGAAGGATGCAGCCCAGTTCCATGCATAAAATCAGAACTGTAGATTTGGGAAAGACCCTGAGGATCATCTAGTCCAAACAGCTGTCTCATATGGGGATCAAATTTTCGATCATATGGGCTTTATGAGCACCCCACGCTCTAACCAACCGAGCAATCCAGGAATGCTCAGTTCAAAGGAACCTTGCTCCCAAGTCAATGGGCAAAGCATTGCAGTTGAAGGAAACTATGCCAGGGTACAGGAAGTCCTTGGCATAGCTGTCAACTTTCAGATTTGAAAATAAGGGAACAGCAGCCTCAAAAATAAGGGATCAGCAGCCTCACCTGTCCCGGGGACAGTCTACGGGATATCTAACAATCCGGGATAGCAGCGGGAAGCAGCGGGAAACGGTGCTGGAATAAGGGAATTTCCCGCAAAAAAAGGGAAGGTTGACAGCTATGGTCCTTGGCCATTGAGGTTGTTGACTTAAAAACAGATGCTGACTTAAACCACTTCATGTGGCTGCATTTGAAGAACAAGAATAGCAACAGAATTCTTAGGGATGTCTAAGGAACCTACCGCTTTCTAAACTAGAAATCACGATTCCATGTTTCAGAGAGAGACGGAGGCCTGGGAGATTGCACAATTGTATGCCTGTGCTTTTTCATCAAAATGAAGCGCTTATCGTCGTGACCAAGAAAGCTCAGCTAAGTAGCTAGGACCGCAGATTAGTCTCCAAAAACACCCAAGCCTTGGATGTTCTACTGGCATAGACAGTACTAGGTGAATCTTGTCTCATTTAACGTTGACGGTTCCTTTTCCCACACACAGAAGGATGATCTGGGAAGAAATATTGGGAAATGTTATCACAACACTGCATTGCAAAATGAGGTTTCTGCCCCGAACGAAATAGTTAAAAATGAAAAGAAGGCTTGCCATCATTTAGAAAGGAGCTGGCCCTTTTACACCGGGTGAACTATATTCCTGTTGCAATGAGGGAGGCAGTGTGGATTCAGCCAGTGCTCAAAGAATTGTTCTTCAGATCTCTGTTCCAGTTGCTGGAGGTAAAGCAGGTATTCCTGTTAAAGGAAAGTATTTTTTAAAGCCACTCAGAGATGGGCCACTGAGTCTGTTGGTTGGATATAATGAACCACCTTAGAGTGACTGTTGCTTTACCCATAGTATATGCTAACAGCAAACTCATTGACCCAGTTTGCACGTAATGCTAAGCCAAACTATGGTTTAGCACGAATGAGTTAACATGCAGGTTCCCGGAGAGATCACAGCTGCTCTGCTCTTCCTTTTGCCCTGCTGCTACTATGTACAGTGGTACCTCGGGTTAAGAACTTAATTCGTTCTGGAGGTCCGTTCTTAACCTGAAACTGTTCTTAACCTAAAGCACCACTTTAGCTAATGGGGCCTCCTGCTGCCCCGTGCCGCTACCAAGCGATTTCTATTCCCATCCTGAAGCAAAGCTCTTAACCCGAGGTACTATTTCTGGGTTAGCGGAGTCTGTAACCTGAAGCGTCTGTAACCTAAAGCGTCTGTAACCTGAGGTACCACTGTACTAAGCCATGGTTTAGTGCTGTGTCTGAACTCAGGCTTGTGGTTTATCTCACTTCAGGCAAACAACAAGCTGTAGGTTTGTTCTATGACTTATCCCTCACCGTTCATGTGTAGTGAGACAAACGCTAAGCCAAACCATAGCTTAGCTCACAATAGAGCAGCAGAACTGGAGGAAGAGCAAAACAGCCCCAATCTTCTCTCCAGGAACCTACACATTTGCACATTTCTGCTACTACCCTTCTGAGAAACACCCCACCCCACCCTCCCACTATATAAACTGTAAGGGTCTGGTGACTTCTGTTTCAGTGTATCTGAAGAAGTGTTCATGCACACGAAAGCTTATACCCAGAACAAACTTAGTTGGTCTCTAAGGTGCTACTGGAAAATTATTTAATTTATTTTGACTGCGTCAGACCAACACGGCTACCTACCTGAATCTGTTTTATTAAACTCAATTTTATTAAAGGTTTTCAACGTATAATACAATAAAAACCAAACTAAGCTGCTATCTAAAGAGAACAAAATAATAATAAAGGAAAAAAGAGAGTAAAGACAAAGAAGAAAGAAGAAAAACACTCACACACAAGCAAAATTTTATATTCTGTCAACCTTCTATCTTAATCTTCCGTTCACAAACAGTGATCCACATCTTCCCAGCTCCCACATGGGACAGCTCCCATCTTTCTTAGCATCACATCCTGAAAAAAACACTCTATTCTGTCTCTCTTCTATCAATTTTCTCTCTGTATGTATCTCCATATCATATCATATCATATCATATCATTCGTATCATAGTTATAAGTAGTATGATTTAATATTAATTTTAAAAAACTATCAATAATTAAATAATAAGAAATAAACAAAGAAGAAAGCATCTAGACCTAATCAGGTTTGTTTGTTTTTAAGTATCAGTAGATAAATACAGCACATTTTAAAACACTGAGCAGAGACACCTAGACCTCCATTAAGGCAGAGATCATCTGCATGATTGCCCCTCCATGTCTGCTTTGCATTTAAGACAATGTTCTCTGGTACAAGTTGCTTGGTTTGCGCGCAAATCAGAGACAACGTGAAAAAAGAACATGGTGGTGTAATGCGGCCTCGCTTCACAACAGTTTGTAGCGAATGGTATAAGACCAAAGTCCCTCCTGTGTGTGAATGGTAGTTGAAGGTCTGTAAAGATGAATTAGGGACGCAGGTGGCGCTGTGCGTTAAACCACAGAGCCTAGGACTTGCCGATCAGAAGGTCGGCGGTTCGAATCCCCGCGACGGGGTGAGCTCCCGTTGCTCAGTCCCTGCTCCTGCCAACCTAGCAGTTCGAAAACACGTCAAAGTGCAAGTAGATAAATAGGTACCGCTCCAGTGGGAAGGTAAATGGCATTTCCGTGCGCTGCTCTGGTTCGCCAGAGGCAGCTTAGTCATGCTGGCCACATGACCCGGAAGCTGTACGCCGGCTCCCTCGGCCAATAAAGCGAGATGAGCGCCGCAACCCCAGAGTTGGTCACGACTGGACCTAATGGTCAGGGGTCCCTTTACCTTTACCTTTAAATATGAATAAATAACAGGCATATGGAATATATGAGACTAAAAGGGTAGGCCACTGGGGGGTGATCCTGGTCTCTCTTATTAATTTCCTAAAAATGATCAGTAATGTAAATATAGAATTACAGGCTTAATATTATTGTTAAGTTGTGGGCGAACATAGCAGACGACACAGCAATTTCTCCAGAGCAGCTCTTTATTTGTAAGCTGGACAGAACTGAACCGCAAACAGCTCAGCTGGCCTGCTTTTATAGGCAGCTGGCTGTCAACAATGTAGCAACAACAACCCAGGGTTTCCTGCCTAAAATAACTGACGTGGACCTGAGTGAAAACTACATACACAATACCCCTGGTGGCCAGGGTGAGAACTTCAATACATAACAATTATAGTGGGTCATTGTTGTTTTTTAAAAAAGAGGATTTGTCGTGCATACTCTTCTATCCTTCACTTTGTACATTAATGCACAGAATAATTAAAGCATTGCTTGATTGGTGCCCCCTTCCTGCAGATGAAATACAGCTTTCTTAACTAAAAACTGAGCCATTTTGTTAGAATGGAGAAGCAGGTGTGTACAGTTATTGATTCTCAGACCTGGGGAGCAGTGGCGAGGAGTCCCACAGATAGAACACTGAGCTACATTCAATCATGCCATCATAGAAATGGTCCGCTTGAGTTTATTTTGGCAAAAAAAATGTCCAAACGCTTAACAATAGAAGCTTTGTGCTGATTTTAATGGTTTGCTTAGAATCTGTCGCATTTAAAGATAAGCCAGCAAAAACAAACAACCCAAAAGCATCTGTTTTACTTAAGTGAAATATTAAAATCACCCTCATTGGTTCATCAGGAAAGCCAGCTTTTCTTGGTCTGTCTTCGCGACGGGTTCTCAAAAGCTGCTTGGCTTGTTTTTCTGGTAGTATTGGCGAGGCATCTTTTTAAAAAAGCGAAATGGACAAGAATAGTTAAGTTTTCAGGTACAGGATAAAGTGTTTGGAAGGCTTATATTATAGATGTGTGCGTGTATCTCTCTCTCTCTCTCTCTCTCTCTCTCTCTCTCTCTCACACACACACACACACACACACACACATATATATATATATATATATATATATATATGCAGGTTTTGGTGTCTTCGGGTGTCTTCCCGTGTAAGAGTTGGGGTGTCTAGGCGACGTTTCGACGAGGTCTCACTCGTCATCTTCAGGCTGGTGCTTTCGGCTTCTTGTTACTGGAACAGAGCAGGATCTCAGTGTTTGAGTTCCTATAAATACTGTGGAGGGGGTGTGGTGTATAGCCTCCAACGTTCTGGGCAGAGAGGAAGTTCCCAGGTTGGTGTGCCTTTTCTTCTTTTGTTCCTTAATTACTTGAGGGATATCTTGAGTGATTTCTTGAGTGATATTCTGAGTATCACTTAGGTGGGTCATTAGGTGTGGATTAGTTGCTAAAGCTTTCGTGTCTTGACCTCTTGAGCTTGTGAAGAGTTTTTCTGAGAAGATGGCTGTACTGCATTTAGTTGTGCTCTGGCTTGGCTTCGTGTATAGGGGCGAGCTGTGGTTTTGTGCCCTGTGCCAGCCAGATCTGTGTAGGGATTGCAGGGGGGTGCAGCATCCGGAGGTGCCACTATGGTTTGGGTACTGGATGGTGTCTGTAATTTATCTGTGGAGAGGGTCTGGGTTTGGGTCTGGTGTGGTTGATTGGTGATGGCGTTCTGTGTGCCTCTGGTTCTGGTGTCGGTTTTTGTGGGGAGGGCTAATTTCCAGATGTCTGGCAGGCGGGACGTGTCGTCACGCTTGTTCATGTTGTGAGGGTGTTTCTCTATCTCGATGGCTTCCATGATTATTCTCTTGTGGTGATGTTCCATGTTAAAGAGCAATTTGGAATCTGCAAAATTAATTTCGTGTCCTGTTTCTTTCATGTGTTGGAAAAGAGAGGAAGTTTTTTCTTCTTTTTTGACGGCATTCTTGTGTTCTGCGATACGTGCATTTATTCGTCTGTTTGTTTGTCCAATGTACGTGGCTGGGCAGACTTTGCAGGGTATTTCATAGACCCCTTGGTTTTCCAACTGGATTTTATCTTTGGGGTTTCTGAGGATATTGGCTATTTTTTGGTTGGTGCAAAAGGCTGTTTTGATATTGTGTTTATGGAGGATTTTGCTAATTTTATCTGTAGTGCCCTTGATGTAAGGAAGGAGGGCCATGCCATTGTTTTCTTCTGTGTCTTGGTTTTTGGGGGGTGTTTCTTTTTGGATTAGCTTCGTAACCCTGTTTTGCTGGTATCCATTGGCGATTAACACATTTGAGAGATTCTGTAACTCAGTTGTCAAGTGGTCTTTGTCAGCCAGGCGTTTGGTTCTGGAGATGAGAGTCTTGGCTACGGAGTTTATTTGTGCAGGGTGGTGGTGTGATTGTGCATGTAAGTAGCGGTTGGTGTGTGTTTTTTTCCGGTAGATAGTGTGTCCTAGGGAGCCATCAGGTTTTTTGTAGATTAGGACGTCAAGGAAGGGAAGTTGGTTGTTGGCTTCTATTTCCATAGTGAATTGTATTTTGGGGTGTAGGCTGTTGAGATGTGTGAGGAAGCTATCTAGTTTTTCCTTCCCGTGTGGCCAAATTACAAAGGTGTCGTCAACATATCTGAGCCAAAGTTTGGGTTTGTGTTCTGACTTGTCTAAAGCATTGGTTTCAAAGTGTTCCATGTACAGATTTGCGATGACCGGTGAGAGGGGTGATCCCATAGGTGCTCCTTCTATCTGTTTGTATCTTTGTCCATTGTGGATGAAGTACGTGTTGGTTAGGCAGTGGTTGGTCAGGTCCAGGATGTATTCGGGGGGATTGTATTTGTTTTGAATGGCTGTCAAGGCTTCATTAATGGGCACTTGTGTGAAGAGAGATACAACATCGAAGCTCACAAGTAGGTCATCGGGATGTAGGTTTTGCTTCTTTATTGTTTCTATGAACTGGAAGGAGTTTGTAACGTGTGAAGCGATGGATTCTGCATAGGGCTGAAGTTGCTTAGCGAGAAATTTAGCGAGATTTTGTAGAGGTGAGCCTATGGAGCTGACTATTGGTCTGAGTGGTGTTCCTTCTTTGTGTATCTTGGGGAGACCGTAGAGTTTGGGGCATCTGGATGATTTTTCTCTGGGGATGATTCTTAGCTGGATTTCTTCACTGATAGGAGAGGCTTTTATTTTGGATTTGGTGGTTTTTTCCAGATAGGTGGTGGGATCTGTTTTTATAGGTTGGTAGGTAGGGTCTTGGAGTAGATTTGATAGTTTTGCTTGGTAGTCCGATGTGTTCATCACAACAGTGGCATTACCTTTGTCTGCTGGGAGAATGATTATGTTGTTGTCTTTCCTCAGGTTGGTGAGTGCTTTCTGTTCTTCTTTGTGTAAATTGCTTCTGGGTGGTTTGCTGGAGCAGAGGATGTTGGTGACTTCAAGTCTGATTTTATTGGCTTCATCTGGGTTGATTTTGGTTAGGCTAGCTTCGACTCCGCATATGATGTTTTCCGTGGGGATGCGTCTCGGGGCGACTGCAAAGTTGAAACCTTTGGAGAGTACTTTGGTTTCAGTTGAGGTGAGGATCCTGTCTGATATGTTATGTACTGTTTGTTTCATGGGTTGTTGTGGAGGACACACTATCTACCGGAAAAAAACACACACCTAGGACACACTATCTACCGGAAAAAAAACACACACCAACCGCTACTTACATGCACAATCCGAAGAGCCACCATCTTATGTGATCTCTTGTTCCTACGCAACTGCCGAGACAACAACTTAATTCCCACATGCTTCCAACTTAAATTCCACTCTAAAACCCCAGCTACCGAAAGGATCCTGAAACGAACTGAACTATCCCTAATCAGAAACGAACTACATAAGAAAAGATACCTACTAAACCAAACCAACAAAGATCTGCTCACTCTTCACCTCAAACTCTGTAACAAAATCCACCCTGCACTCTGGGACAAATGCAAACAACTAGCCGTCTGGAGAGCTGAAACTGAGACCTCACATAAGACAGACACACACACCAACAAACTCCACAAACTAGAGAAACGCCAGAAGCCCAGCCACCCTCCACAACAACCATCGCAGAATCCATCGCTTCACACGTTACAAACTCCTTCCAGTTCATAGAAACAATAAAGAAGCAAAACCTACATCCCGATGACCTACTTGTGAGCTTCGATGTTGTATCTCTCTTCACACAAGTGCCCATTAATGAAGCCTTGACAGCCATTCAAAACAAATACAATCCCCCCGAATACATCCTGGACCTGACCAACCACTGCCTAACCAACACGTACTTCATCCACAATGGACAAAGATACAAACAGATAGAAGGAGCACCTATGGGATCACCCCTCTCACCGGTCATCGCAAATCTGTACATGGAACACTTTGAAACCAATGCTTTAGACAAGTCAGAACACAAACCCAAACTTTGGCTCAGATATGTTGACGACACCTTTGTAATTTGGCCACACGGGAAGGAAAAACTAGATAGCTTCCTCACACATCTCAACAGCCTACACCCCAAAATACAATTCACTATGGAAATAGAAGCCAACAACCAACTTCCCTTCCTTGACGTCCTAATCTACAAAAAACCTGATGGCTCCCTAGGACACACTATCTACCGGAAAAAAAACACACACCAACCGCTACTTACATGCACAATCACACCACCACCCTGCACAAATAAACTCCGTAGCCAAGACTCTCATCTCCAGAACCAAACGCCTGGCTGACAAAGACCACTTGACAACTGAGTTACAGAATCTCTCAAATGTGTTAATCGCCAATGGATACCAGCAAAACAGGGTTACGAAGCTAATCCAAAAAGAAACACCCCCCAAAAACCAAGACACAGAAGAAAACAATGGCATGGCCCTCCTTCCTTACATCAAGGGCACTACAGATAAAATTAGCAAAATCCTCCATAAACACAATATCAAAACAGCCTTTTGCACCAACCAAAAAATAGCCAATATCCTCAGAAACCCCAAAGATAAAATCCAGTTGGAAAACCAAGGGGTCTATGAAATACCCTGCAAAGTCTGCCCAGCCACGTACATTGGACAAACAAACAGACGAATAAATGCACGTATCGCAGAACACAAGAATGCCGTCAAAAAAGAAGAAAAAACTTCCTCTCTTTTCCAACACATGAAAGAAACAGGACACGAAATTAATTTTGCAGATTCCAAATTGCTCTTTAACATGGAACATCACCACAAGAGAATAATCATGGAAGCCATCGAGATAGAGAAACACCCTCACAACATGAACAAGCGTGACGACACGTCCCGCCTGCCAGACATCTGGAAATTAGCCCTCCCCACAAAAACCGACACCAGAACCAGAGGCACACAGAACGCCATCACCAATCAACCACACCAGACCCAAACCCAGACCCTCTCCACAGATAAATTACAGACACCATCCAGTACCCAAACCATAGTGGCACCTCCGGATGCTGCACCCCCCTGCAATCCCTACACAGATCTGGCTGGCACAGGGCACAAAACCACAGCTCGCCCCTATACACGAAGCCAAGCCAGAGCACAACTAAATGCAGTACAGCCATCTTCTCAGAAAAACTCTTCACAAGCTCAAGAGGTCAAGACACGAAAGCTTTAGCAACTAATCCACACCTAATGACCCACCTAAGTGATACTCAGAATATCACTCAAGAAATCACTCAAGATATCCCTCAAGTAATTAAGGAACAAAAGAAGAAAAGGCACACCAACCTGGGAACTTCCTCTCTGCCCAGAACGTTGGAGGCTATACACCACACCCCCTCCACAGTATTTATAGGAACTCAAACACTGAGATCCTGCTCTGTTCCAGTAACAAGAAGCCGAAAGCACCAGCCTGAAGATGACGAGTGAGACCTCGTCGAAACGTCGCCTAGACACCCCAACTCTTACACGGGAAGACACCCGAAGACACCAAAACCTGCATTCCTATACCCGTGAAAATCTACGAAAGCATATATATATATATATATATATTACACAATACACAAAGTGTTCTTTCATTACAGTGGCTTCTCAGGAGGATATTACATTCCAGGAGGCATGAGTGGAATCTGAAACCATTTTTAATAATAAACTAGGGCTTGTTTATAAGTTGGATAGGTTAAAGTAAACAAAACCTACATAGAACCACATCTCTTCACAAAATTAGGAAAGTATAACGGCACCGTCTACTTGTGATCAGATTTACTCTTTTTCCATTGGGTACAATCCACTGGGGTGTGCATGTGTGTGCGTGTGTGCATGCAAGCCCCATTGAAATGAATGGAAGGCGTGCTCTGAACAGCCCTCATTCATTTGAACACAGTATGTGCAGGAGAACATCCTGGTTAATATTGCACTTCATCGTCTAAAGGGATGCTATGCAAGATAAAGGCATTTATTTTGTTTATTGATTGCTCTGAGAGCCTTATCTAGGCAAAGAAACAGCATGGATCACTGAGCAAGAGCTGCAGTAAAATACTGGCAATTAAAAAAAAAACAGGTTTACAACTTTAAAGGACCCTGTGCAACGTTTTGTGGAAGTTAAGTGCACTGAATTCAAAGGCAATCAGTCCCAGGTAAGGACGCATAGGATTGTAGTAGCACAGTGAGATCTTAAGCATATTTATCCAAAACAAGTACATAAGCCCTAGTGGGTAGTGTGTTCAAGAGAACAGCAGCTATCAGTTTGTTTACTGATCTGTGACTCTAATATCGACAGGATGGCTCTCTTTCAGACTGCAATCCTAAGAACACTTGCTGGGAAAATAAGCTCCGTTGAATTCAGCGGGGCTTACTGCTAAGTAAACATGCGCAGGAATAGGGCTGATATTGATCTATATAGATTATCTTCCACACTAGCCCAGTTGTCAAGCTGTCAAAATTAAAAGGCTGCAGTGTAACACCACAGTAGGAAGCGCAGCCAGAATCGTGGAGAAAATTTCAGTAGCAAAATACAACAAACCAGTCTGCTGTCTAGAGTTCCCGACAGAATAGTACATATTCCCTTCCACCCCCGTTGCTCATAATACCTACCTACAAAAATGGTTAGAAGGGTCAAAACAATAACAAAAGCTGTCTTCATTTTGATTCTGCTGCTTCTTAGTCTGCTCCTCCAAAATGAATTACCCCGACGGAGGTATTAGCCTACTTGAGGCAGCTACGTCAGTCACAGATGTTTGTTTATTCTTTGACTACTATGACTTAAGAGTATGAGTTTGAGGACATCTGGTCCTGGGTTTTGAATATGGCTATTGTGAGCTTTTGACATTCTTGGGGGGGCTAATCTATTCCTTGGGAAAAGAAACAGACAGGCCTTCTTTGCAGCGTTTCAACACTTTTAAAAAACAAAACAAGACATGGAAAGGAGCACCAAAAAGGCAGAAGTAAACAAGGAGGAGGGTGTCCGAAAGGTGCTGTGCGCCAAGATGTATTGCCTGAAGTGTTTGTGTGTGATTATAGAGAAGGAAGCTAGCTCAGGCAAACACACTGTCTACACCAGAATCATTATGATCAATTGTTTCCAAAGAAGAAGAGTTAGACCATGAGTAGGCAAACTTAAGGCCTGGGGGCTAGATCCAGCCCAATTGCCTTCTAAATCTGGCCTGTGGATGGTCCAGGAATCAGCGTGTTTTTACATAAGTGGAATGTGTCCTTTTATTTAAAATGCATCTCTGGGTTATTTGTGGGGCCTGCCTGGTGTTTTTACATGAGTAGAATGTGTCCTTTTATTTAAAATGCATCTCTGGGTTATTTGTGGGGCCTGCCTGGTGTTTTTACATGAGTAGAATGTGTGCTTTTATTTATTTATCTCTGGGTTATTTGTGGGGTATAGGAATTCGTTCATTATTTTTTTCAAAATATAGTCTGGCCCCCCACAAGGTCTGAGGGACAATGGACCGGCCCCCTGCTGAAAAAGTTTGCTGACCCCTGAGTTAGACTCTGAAACAGGCCAGACGGCCCTAAGTTGTGGAATTCCCTCGCTACAAAGATGTATCCTGTACCTTCACTTTGGCACCTGAAACCTGTGTTTTCAGGACTCATCCTATTCCCATGGCTGCAGTTTGTTTAACTGTTTTTAGTACTGAATTTTAATAATAACAATAACAATAGCAACAACAATTATTATTATTATTATTATTATTATTATTATTATTAATTATTTATACCCTGCCCATCTGGCTAAGTTAAACTGTTGTAACCTGTCATAGGACCTGTTGGTGTAGGGGTGGTTATAAAATTAACACCCAGGGCTCGCTACTGGAAATTCCTACAACGTGCCGAATTCTCCTTTCTCCCTGTTATATTCAGTTCAACTTACTCCTTGCCCTAATGTCATTAAAGTGTGGCACTTTCCTCACCCAACAGGCACAGGGGGAGGGAATGGTGTGTATGAAAAACAAACATTGTGCCATTAGCAATGGACCATATTAAAATAAAAATTCATTTTTGTCGTCATCTTCTGAAGTTGATGTGGGAAGATGGCTGTGATGGTTTAAGATCCAGAGCCCATATCATCCAGGAAACCTTATTGTGGGCCTTGAAGGGCTGGCAGAGGGGAGACAGGATGGGGAAACTGCATTCTATTGACTCGCTTCTGGTGGTGTTTCAAGACAACACCATCCTACTGAACTTACCAAGATCCACTTTTGTTCCGTGTGCAGTCTAGGGCTGCCAGCTTCTGAACTTGGAATCTGTAGCTGCAACAGCAATTTGATTTGAAAAATGAACTGGCAATTGCATTTGGCTCTATGCCGTTTAAAGTATTACCCATTCACTTCTGAATTATCAAACCTCTATTAAAGGCTCAGGAAGAAGCTGGGCTGTGATTCTATTTACTTAGCCAGTTGGAAATACAACTTATACCATGCAGTTGGGCAAATGGGTTTAGGCATCAGCCTTTGAATGCGGCTTCTCAAGCTCAGCACACAAACAGCACATCTCAGACAAGTATTCCATTTCTTCCTCATCTTCTTTCAATTTAGCTCCCTCTAGCGGGATTGCAATCTGCCAATCCACTTTCTCTGTAATAAATCCCTCTGCTTTATATCTGAGGCTAGCTCCGCTCAGTAAAGCCACTTGAATTAACATGCATGACTAATTGAATCTGTTAATTTCAGTGGGACTACTTTGGGTAGGTCTTCGTTGGGTACAACACTTTAAGACTTTAATCCTGCAACAAATGGATTGTGGTTGTGATATAATTAGGGAGGGAAAACCCCTCCTGATAGCACTGTTGATATTGGTCTTTTAGCTTCACTTTATGTTTGAATTACAAGGTGGGGCGCACCAGACCCTTCAAGTGTCCCTATTTTCCAAGGACAGTCCCAGATTATAGAAGCCAGATTACAGAAGTTTCTGATTTGAACCAGGAATGTCCCACTTTTCTTTAGCATGACCCTATTTTCATCGGAGAAATGTTGGAGGATATGGAGTTATGTGTGACACCTGAGCCAAGGAGATAAGTAACTACAATCTTTAGAAGACATCTGACGGCAGCCCTGGATAGGGGAGTTTTTTTAACGCTTAATGTTTTATTATGTTTTTATATATGTTGGAAGCCATCCAAAGTGGCTGGGGCAACCCAGTCAGATCGGTGGGGTATAAATACTACTACTACTACTACAAGCAACAACAACAACAGACGAGGAAACCCCACTTTCATTGGAGAAATGTTGAAGGGTATGTATTATTTTATTTTCTTCCCCATCCTTTACCAAGACCCCAGGGTGGGTTACAGCAATTTTAAAACACTGTATAAAGCAGTTTTAAGCAAATTACAGTAAAGAGAATAAGTTAAATCCTATATACAGTATGTGTCCATTGTCAAAGATCAGGGTGAAAAGGGGACAACATCTTCAGCGTACAAGGAAAATGCAAGGAAAATGCATGATGGTGTCTATCTATTGGGAAAGCCAGATGGGCAGGATATAAACAAGAAAAATCATTATCATTATTATTACTTTATTATTGTTGTTGTTGTTGTTGTTGTTGTTGTTGTGGAACAGGATGTCCCTATTTTCATCGGAGACACGTTGGAGGGTATAGAACACCCGTGTCTTTTGGGAAAGGCTGACGTTTTCAAAAAGCAAATTATAGTCAAGAGAAAGTACAGTCCAAAGCACAGGCGGGAGGGGAGTCAGTGACGCAGAGCGGGGCGGCAGGTGATCAGCTCCCTTCCTCCTTCCCTTCGCCCGTCCCTTTCATCAGCATCGCTTGTTCGAACTCTCCCCCTCGTCACGTGGGCCGGCGGCCGGGCGGCCGTTTCCTAGCAACCCCGCATCAGCAGCTTCCTGACCCGCCGTTCCTCCTCCTCCTCCTCCTCCTCCTGACCCCGCCCCTCTCCCGCTCAGAGAGCGCTTCCGCTTCCGGCGCTCATCCCTTGCCTGGCTGCCTCTCCAGAGGTTCCCGTCGAGCTGTCGGTGAGAGACCGGGGGGGGGGGTCGGGGGGCTGAGGGGACTTGGGGGGGGACCAGCAGCAGCAGCAGCAGCATCAGAACTGCCAGGGCTGTTCGCTGCTGCTTCTGCCTGGAAATGTCCAGGGGCGGTGAATTTGTAGGAGGGGCAGGTGGCCGCCCCAGGTTTATGAAGGGATTTCGCAGCCTCACAGTGTGTTGAGGTGGGGGGGGCGGTTCGTTACTATTATATATACAGTGGTTGTTGTTTAGTCCTTTAGTCGTGTCCGACTCTTCGTGACCCCATGGACCAGAGCACGCCAGGCACTCCTGTCTTCCACCGCCTCCCGCAGTTTGGTCAGGCTCATGTTTGTAGCTTCGAGAACACTATCCAACCAATATACAGTGGTACCTCAGGTTACAGACGCTTCAGGTTACAGATGCTTCAGGTTACAGACTCCGCTAACCCAGAAATCGTGTTTCAGGTTAAGAACTTTGCTTCAGGATGAGAACAGAAATCGTGTGTTGCCGGTGCGGCAGTAGCAGGAGGCCCCATTAGCTAAAGTGGTCTTCAGGTTAAGAATAGTTTCAGGTTAAGAACAGACCTCCGGAACGAATTAAGTACTTAACCCGAGGTACCAGTGTATATGAAAAGGAAAAGCCAAGCATTAGGCCTAGGAAATGAAAGCCGAGTGAGGTGCGCTTTTGTACGTGAAGGTTGGCAGGTTGGTATCTGAAGAAGTGTGCATGCATACAAAAGCTTAAACCAAGACAAGCTTAGTTGGTTTACAGTGGTACCTCGGGTTACATACGCTTCAGGTTACAGACTCTGCCAATCCAGAAATAGTACCTTGGGTTAAGAACTTTTCTTCAGGATGAGAACAGAAATCGCTCAGCAGCGGCAGCGGGAGGCCCCATTATCTAAAGTGGTACCTCAGGTTAAGAACAGTTTTAGGTTAAGAACGGACCTCCAGAACTAATTAAGTACGTAACCAGAGGTACCACTGTATAAGGTGCTACTGAACAATTTTTTATTTTTTTATTTTTATTTTGACTGCGTCAAACCAGCACGGCTACCTATCTGAACCTAGGTTATGTAACGTTTCATTTCCGGTTATTATAAATGTCAGAAGCCGCCCAGAGTGGCTGGGGCAACCCAGTGAGATGGGTGGGGGTACAAAGAATAAAATTATTATCATCATTATTAAGGGTAGAAGAAGGTACCACAACTGAGTGAGCAGCCACTGTTTTTGTGGAATCGTAGAATTGTAGAGATGAGCCCAAGGGTTGTCTAGTCAGCCCCCTGCAATGCAGGAATATGAAGCATCTGCTGCCCGCCCCCTCAACCCTCAGGCTAACTCAGGTTGTTTTTTTTAATTTCAGATGACTTAATCCGCAGCTGCTGCACCCTTCTGCTGTCCTGCCCTCATGGACTAAAGTTGGCCCAAAAGGCACAAGCCTGGCATTAAAAGGGGCGGGGAACCACCTGTGTTGCACCCTGGGTGTGGGTGGGTGTTAAGGCGTAAATTGATTGTTCTTGTTCTTGTATGTGTGTAGAGCAAGAAGCAAGGTAGTGATAGCCATAACAAGGAGAGAAATGAGGTGCTGTTGTTTATAGCATGGAAGGTGAAAGTGCTTGACTCTGTTTTTGGAGTTGGCATTTGCTTCTGTGCATCGGCTTAGTGTTGGGTTTCTGCTATAACAAAGGACAGGTGAGCTATAGCAAGAAAGCAGTCACTGTTGTCATGATGGTGTGATGTTGTAAGGGTACATTGATAGGAGAAAAACAAGTTGTGGTGAACTATTTAATAGCACGAGAAATATATGTAGCATTGGAATTACGTAAAACTAAGTCTTCTGCTTTGTCAGGTATTTTAAGACAAGTGGATATTTGATTTCAAGACACAGATGTTTAAGCCTTTCTTTAGGGGAGCCACAAATAAAAGGAAAAAGTGAGGCTTTGTGCAGTAGGGTCTAATGAGGAAGGAACAGGCAATGTGGTTAATGATGGCAGATTAGGGAAAACTGCTGAAATGAACATGAGCAAATCTATGTTGGGACCTACATGATCAAAACGTGCTCCCTTGTATCAGGTTTAATTTGACACCTAGAGATTGATACTAAATCAATTAAGGATGGAAGGGGTTGAAAGGAACAGCTCCATATTCTCTCCAAGACCGTTTCAAGAATGGAGTCTGGCCTTCTGGACTCTGTGCTCGGTGATGGTTCCCGTACTGATCACCTTGTGGTGCAGCTTTCGTCGATCTCGGAGGCAGGAACTGATGCAGGACATTTTGCGTAAGAGCAAGCACAATTGGCAGGACACAGATCTCTTCAGCCAGCCCACCTATTGCTGCATCTGCTCTCTGCACATCCTTCAGGGAGCTTTCTGCAACTGCTGTGGGCTGTGTGTCGATGAAGAGTGCCTGAAGAAGGCTGACCGGCGTTTCCTCTGCAAGGAAATAATAATGAGGGGTGAAAGCGGCTTCAGGACCTCTATGGTACACCAGTGGATCCGTGGCAACGTCCCTCTGTGCAGCTACTGTGTCGTGTGCAAACAGCAATGCGGTACCCAGCCCAAGCTGTGTGATTACAGGTAATGCTGGGAGTACAATTTATTTATTATTACATTTGTAGCCCAGGTACTCATAAAGTGGCGTACGCTTCTCCCCCTTCTGAATTTATCCTTGCAACAGCCCTGTGAGGTAGGTTAGGATGAGAGATGGTGATGGGCCAAAGGTGAGCTTCATGGCTGAGTGGGGATTTTAACCCTGGTCTCCCAATCCTAGTCAAACACTTAACTACACCACAAATGGGTCACAGTTATGAGACACAGTGGTGGCAGAATGCTTCCCTGTGGGGGTGAGTCATCAGAAATGTGCTCTGCATTTTCTCATTGTGTTCACAGGCTACCTCTAACTTTCCATGAACAAGATGATGAGTACTCTTATCTGTGATCTCTGTACCCGGCTGAATGAAGCTATGGTTTACAGTATTTCCAAAGACTACAAAGAAAGTAGGCCAAGTAGAGAGGTGTTCTTAGTGAACGCTTTTCAACTTTACAGCTTCCGTCTCCTGGAGAGCAGTACAACCTGTTCTTACTGGCTTAGGCGTTTAATTTAATACTAAAAGTACACAAGAGTCCATTTTAGTAGGTTAAAGAGATAGAAATATATATATTAAAACAGGAAGGGAAGGTATTCATTCTCTTTATTCCACAAGCTGGCCTAATGAAAGCTTGAAAGGCCCCACACCCCTGGTTGCTTGTGATGAGCAAATACTTTCTTATAGGTGTACATTGGTTGGCTAGTAACTCTTTTTATGGTCTTTTAGCTTAGTCAGCCAAGCCAGCCTAGTGGGATAAGGATTACGGATAAATCAAACCAAAATAATTACTTAATAGAATTCTAGAGTCATCTATGCGCTGTATGTAAATACAGCAAGTGTGTTTACAAAGCATCTTATCTCTTAGTTTGGATGGTGCAGCCTATTGTCAGAGATTATGGGAGTTGTAGTCCATCACAACCTGAAAGAACCAAGTATTCCCCATCTTTGCTATAGGGAATGTGACAGGCACATGACAGCTTTTTCCTCTGGCTTTTCTTGACAACCCTCCCCTTGGAATCTTCTTTGAAGCAAAAAGTGGGTGGGAAAGCCTCTCTTGTCTTCTCACATTTAGTGATGAGTTGAGTGAGAACCGATGTGCCCAAGGGCAGTGTAACTTAAAGTACGATTCTTCTGATGCAACTGAAATGCATCTTTGGATTAGATTGCTGCGTGAAAAGTTAACCAAAGGCAGAAATCCTGGGACGTAAACCACCCCAACTAGTGTGGAAGCCCAGTCCCTAATCCCAATTGCAAGGGAACAATCTGGTGATTAATATTCATCTATGGTGAGCAAATGGTTGTCTGCACATGCTCAAAGGCTCTGTTTTATTTATTCAGTGATGTTGCGTAACTGAGCCTTGGCCTTGGAAATAGGCCCCTAGGCAAAACTGTAGCTGAAATTTTAAAGCATTAAGAGCTTTGTAACGAGTCATACATTAATTGGACATTAATACATGCAAGTTCTTGTGCAATAATTTGGCACCTGTGTGCTAAAATCAGAGTGAAGGTTTATGAGTGGACCATGAGGTTCTTATCCACTGTGTCTTGCTCTATAGAGTATACAACTGCTGTTCTAGTTTAGAATTGGATTAGCACACAGAGTCCTAAATATAGTGTCCAGGGCTATTTCAATCTGCTCTCTGAATAGTAAGAGTGAGAATCCCACCTCTTGTCCAGTTATCATAGGCCAGGCATGTCCAAAGTCCATTTCGGGGACCTAATCTGGCCCACTGGTCGGTTTAATCCGGCTCCTGTGGCAGTTTATTTACTGGGGTAAAATCCTAAAAAACTTCAATCCTAAAAGAAGCTCAACAACTCCAACCCTAAAAAAGGTCAACAACTTTGGGGTAAAATCATAAAAAATCTCAAGAACTTCAATCCTAAAAAAAGGTCAACTTTGGTCGGCCCTTCACTTCATCAAATCTGGCCCTCTTTGAAAAAAGTTTGGAAACCACTGTCATTGGCCATAATATGCATCACTCTCAAAGTTATTTCCTAGGGTCTTGGTCTTGCTTGAGTAGTGCACTTTCAGGGTCTGGAATATATAGAACCTAGGGCGGTGTTTTGCAAACATCCTGAACGCATCTCCTCTTTCTGAAGTTTAGCTTTTCTTCCCACCTAACCCTAACCCAGCATGAACATCTCTGTAGCAGTTGAGTGAGTCAGAATCCTCGCACACAGACAAACGTGTGTGCATTTCCCTGCTCTGCACAAAGTTTTCTTAACTGTGGCAAAGAGATGTTTAAAAGATTGTTGTAGCAAAAGTGCTTCACAATTCTCATTTCTTCATTTCCCCCCAGTTTCTTGCCTGCCTCCAGTCCAGGGTGGATTTGATTTAAATCAAACCGATTTAAATCACTAGACAGTAAGACATGTGATTTAAATCATTATTTTTACAGAAAAACTCCTTCTTGCTGGTATAATCTTAATATTTACAACCAGATGAAGATTTCATTTTTGGAATAATAAATTTTCAGAGTAGTTTTTACACTTATATCAGAAATTACTGATTTGGTTATACTGTTAGAAATACATAGACAGATGATGATGAAATTATTGTGAGGTTTAATAAGTTAACTGTTTATATTTGGACAACTTTTCTGCTGTACTTTATTGGAAGGAGAAAAAGAATCATTAGTAACGATTCAAACAATTTATTTAACTAAAAGAATAACATTATAGCATATGTATCCATGTTTGTTAACTGATGTGGTTAAACAATTTCTTTTTTAAAAAAAACAGACTGAGTTTTACTACACATGAAAAACTTAAAACAAATCCTTATTTCCTGATAAATAGCCTTTGGACTATAATGTAACTTAAATAGAAAACTATCTTTAAAAATATTTTTCCTCCTAAAGCATTTTATTTTAAAAATCCGATTTAAATTTTTAAAAATCAGATTTTTATTTATTTATTTTAAAAAAATCATTGATTTTTATCCACCCTGCTCCAGTCTCGCTCACACACACACACCCTCCGAATCAAGCCCAGGTCTTGATTGCATAACAGATGCATATGTTTTAATCTCTGCCTTCTGGCACAGTTGAGTTCAACAATCAGGAAGCGGAGAGAAATGCAAGCTTTTTTCCTGGCCAGGGAAGTGTAAGTGCCAGAGAGAGGTGGGATGAGAGAGGCAGGTAGTTTGCCATCTGGCAGGGGCTAATTGTTCCAGGCAAATGAAATGGCTGAAACAATAGTACGTTAAAATGCAGTGCATTTAATTGCCTTTTTTACTCGTGCATCTCAGTGCCATCGACATAATGCGCTTGGGTTCTTTAGTCACTTTTTCCTTTCTGTTTGTTCAGAAAGTATTTTGGGTCACCGTTCCAACTAAGGACTCTCAAGGTGACATCACAACTCCCCTGCGACGGTGAGGGCTATAAAATTCTTTTCTTTTGAACGGAAGCATGCATCTCTTTCTAAATTCTGGCAGCAGATGGTAAGGCCCATAAAGGTGCCCTGTTCACCTGGTGGGTCTTATATTGCTGATCTGGCGCTTGGAGGGAACAACATAGTTGATTCTAGGAATTGTTTCTTTTGGAGTTTTGAGTGCTTTTTTCACCTTGTGGTTTTTAAGTTACCGGGCCAAACTGCCTCTCAAGCTTTAGGCCAAGCTTGAGTTAAAGGTCCTCTTAATAGCTTAGTCTGTTTAGTGTGCATTAAGGACCTCATTCACTCCTATCCTCAATGAATCCCTACTATGTAGTATTTTACAATGTTTAATATTAATAAGTTTGTACCAGAGTACGTTGTGTACCTTTTCCAGCAAGAACATCCAAGGCATTAATATGTCCCCCCCCCTTCACAGGGGAGGATATTTATGGCTAGTCTCTTTCATCCTATTTGTAGATGTGCCTTTATTAACATGGGAACAGCCAGCATTGCTTCCTGGTCATAGTGGACATCTGCATCGAAATTATTATTTGTTGGTCCTGGCAGTTCTTTAGGAGATTATAGCCATCCATCTCTATACAAAACGTGGCTTGGCAGCACCGCTGTCAGACCCAGGATCGTGTGCATTTTCCAGGTGGATCAGGGAGTGAAAGACTTTGGTCAAGTGGAAGTGGTGATCACACCTGTTGTGATGTAGGGTGGTATGCAACTAAGCTTTACTCCGAGTAGACCTATTCAAATTCATGACCGTGGCTAAGTTAGGACCATTAATTTCAGAGGGTGGAATTCCAGCATTGCACTATTACAGTTTTTCCATCAGTGCAAGACTCTACCCCAATGCACTGTTCTGGGGGTTTTCCTGAACCCCCCCCTGTCCCCCAAGTTGATTTGGGGGGCAGGGAACAGTGTTAGAAACTGAGATACGAAAGCTAGGAGTTAAATGGCACCTTAAACCTAGGTTATGGGCGCAACAATGGAAGGTCCAGGCGCGCTGTTTTAATAACAGGAATTGTTGTTGTTGTTGTTTAGTCGTTTAGTCGTGTCCGACTCTTCGTGACCCCATGGACCAGAGCACGCCAGGCACTCCTGTCTTCCACTGCCTCCCGCAGTTTGGTCAGGCTCATGTTTGTAGCTTCGAGAACACTATCCAACCATCTCATCCTCTGTCGTCCCCTTCTCCTAGTGCCCTCCATCTTTCCCAACATCAGGGTCTTTTCCAGGGAGTCTTCTCTTCTCATGAGGTGGCCAAAGTATTGGAGCCTCAACTTCACGATCTGTCCTTCCAGTGAGCACTCAGGTCTGATTTCCTTAAGAATGGATGCGTTTGATCTTCTTGCAGTCCATGGGACTCTCAAGAGTCTCCTCCAGCACCATAATTCAAAAGCATCAATTCTTCGGCGATCAGCCTTCTTTATGGTCCAGCTCTCACTTCCATACATCACTACTGGGAAAACCATGGCTTTAACTATACGGACCTTTGTTGGTAAGGTGATGTCTCTACTTTTTAAGATGTTGTCTAGATTTGCCATCGCCTTTCTCCCAAGGAGCAGGCGTCTTTTAATTTCGTGACTGCTGTCACCATCTGCAGTGATCATGGAGCCCAAGAAAATAAAATCTCTCACTGCCTCCATTTCTTCCCCTTCTATTTGCCAGGAGGTGATGGGACCAGTGGCCATGATCTTCGTTTTTTTGATGTTGAGCTTCAGACCATATTTTGCGCTCTCCTCTTTCACCCTCATTAAAAGGTTCTTTAATTCCTCCTCACTTTCTGCCATCAAGGTTGTGTCATCTGCATATCTGAGGTTGTTGATATTTCTTCCGGCAATCTTAATTCCGGTTTGGGATTCATCCAGCCCAGCCTTTCGCATGATGAATTCTGCATATAAGTTAAATAAGCAGGGGGACAATATACAGCCTTGTCGTACTCCTTTCCCAATTTTGAACCAATCAGTTGTTCCATATCCAGTTCTAACTGTAGCTTCTTGTCCCACATAGAGATTTCTCAGGAGACAGATGAGGTGATCAGGCACTCCCATTTCTTTAAGAACTTGCCATAGTTTGCTGTGGTCGACACAGTCAAAGGCTTTTGCATAGTCAATGAAGCAGAAGTAGATGTCTTTCTGGAACTCTCTAGCTTTCTCCATAATCCAGCGCATGTTTGCAATTTGGTCTCTGGTTCCTCTGCCTCTTCTAAATCCAGCTTGCACTTCTGGGAGTTCTCGGTCCACATACTGCTTAAGCCTGCCTTGTAGAATTTTAAGCATAACCTTGCTAGCGTGTGAAATGAGTGCAATTGTGCGGTAGTTGGAGCATTCTTTGGCACTTCCCTTCTTTGGGATTGGGATGTAGACTGATCTTCTCTAATCCTCTGGCCACTGCTGAGTTTTCCAAATTTGCTGGCATATTGAGTGTAGCACCTTAACAGCATCATCTTTTAAAATTTTAAATAATTCAGCTGGAATATCATCACTTCCACTGGCCTTGTTATTAGCGATGCTTTCTAAGGCCCATTTGACTTCACTTTCCAGGATGTCTGGCTCAAGGTCAGCAACCACACTACCTGGGGTATACAAGACATCAATTTCTTTCTGGTATAGTTCCTCTGTGTATTCTTGCCACCTCTTCTTGATGTCTTCTGCTTCTGTTAGGTCCTTTCCACTTTTGTCTTTTATTATGGAAATCTTTGTACAAAATGTTCCTTTCATATCTCCAATTTTCTTGAACAGATCTCTGGTTTTTCCCATTCTATTGTTTTCCTCTATTTCTTTGCATTGCTCGTTTAAGAAGGCCTTCTTGTCTCTCCTTGCTATTTTTTGGAAATCTGCATTCAATTTCCTGTATCTTTCACTATCTCCCTCGCATTTTGCTTGCCTTCTCTCCCCCGCTATTTGTAAGGCCTCGTTGGACAGCCACTTTGCTTTCTTGCATTTCCTTTTCATTGGGATGGTTTTAGTTGCTGCCTCTTGTATAATGTTACGAGCCTCCATCCATAGTTCTTCAGGCACTCTGTCCACCAAATCTAAATCCTTAAACCTGTTCCTCACTTCCACTGTGTATTCATAAGGGATTTGACTTAGATTGTATCTTACCGGCCCAGTGGTTTTTCCTACTTTCTTCAGTTTAAGCTTGAATTTTGCTATAAGAAGCTGATGATCTGAGCCACAGTCAGCTCCAGGTCTTGTTTTTGCTGACTGTATAGAGCTTCTCCATCTTTGGCTGCAGAGAATATAATCAATCTGATTTCGATGCTGCCCATCTGGTGATGTCCATGTGTAGAGTCGTCTCTTGTGTTGTTGGAAAAGGAATACAGGAATACAAAGCTGAAAATGAATGAACTGCGGCTAAAATATTATGTTCTACGTGGCCTTAGTTCTTCCCCTGTCTACCCCCCTCATATTCTTAAGACGGCCTCTTCTCCAGTCTTCAGAGAGTAGCTGGAAGTGGGGAGGCAGAAAAATATCCTCCTTTCCTTCCACTCTGCAGTTTTAATCCAAAATCTTAGGCGCAGTACTGCGCCCAGAGCTCAGAAACGGCTCACACTAATGAAATCCCCAGTCGCAAAATGCACCCAGAACAATGGGAGTTTCAAGCAGGGGCACAGAATTGTGGGAAAAGCCTCTCAGCACTCATGAGAGTCCTATTACCGGCTCATGCTAGCACAGCTGTTTAGTTGAATCTGGCCCAGTAGGTTTACTCTGAGTAAAACTTAGTGGGATACCACTCAACATGGGCATCTTTTTACTGTAGCTATACCAATACGCATTTTGTTATTCCAGTTCAAAGGTACAGAGTTGGTATGTAGATTATTATTTTTTTAATAGCTTGACTATTGCTAGAGATTACTATATAAACCTTTCTATTTGTACAGCTTATCTGCTTGTTGGTTTTTTGGTGTTCATTTTTATAGTGTTCGTTACATAGTAATAAAAATCATTTTTTAAAAAAAGAATCCAGTAAAAATAGAATAAAATTGAATCCTGCACTGAACTTTCCCCTGAACCCCGAGACAAACTCAAAAACGTAGATCTTGCAGTGCTTCAATCCAGTGCTCAGGATTTGACTTGGGCTTGTCTTTAGCAAGAGAGAGTTTTGTAACTAGTGGGAAATGCCGTGAGTGTTTTTATATATGTCCTTGCTGGCTGAATCTGGCATGCATCCTTAAAGTGGGGGGGCCTCAGAGAGAATAATGTGGAGGTGGGGGAAACGGGTCTCTGGTATATTGGGGCTTTTTGCCCTTTAGACTTGATTGTTTACTGCATTTATATACAACTTTTTTGACTCATAGGTGGCTTATGGTTTAAAATAGAAAATAGGGGCTGCAAAAAATAATAAAACAGGCAAATTGTCTGAGTGTTGTAGCAAATACTATGCAAGTGGAGCTCCACTCACATGATAGGGAATCCCCTACCACTCCCCATAAGCGCCCAAAATCTGCTCTGGAGCAGATTTTGAGGGAGGGGATTGCTGGTGAGAGGAGCAGGGAGTTCTGTTGCTCAACTGGAAATCTGCAAGTGCTAGTGGAACAGCAGCATGGGATAAAACCCAGGACATTAAAAAGTTGATCATACAAACTCCCCCGTCTGGTCTTCATTTTCTGTTATAAACAACAACTTGAATTTAGAGACTGTATAGACGTATGGATTCTGACTGGTGTGCAATTGGAATTTATAAGTTTTGGGAATGCAGAGCTAAAGTAAATTATCAAATCATCAATTCTAGCATACGGGGGGGCAACAAAATAATATAATTTGGCATCTGAACAATTATAGTTATAATTTGGTATCATAATTTGGTATTGACAATGAGGCTTTTATTGGGTTATTGTAACTGAAAACTATCTATCTATATATCTATATCTATCTATCTATGAGAGAGAGGGTGAGACTGTATAGACATATGGAGGACATTTTTCTGAAAGAGTTGTGGAAGATCGGTACGTCTTGCATACGTCTTGGTTTGCATACGTTTTGGATTACAAACACGTCAAACCCAGAAGTGCATGTCCCGGTTTGCAACCTTTTTTTGGATTACAACCCATTTTGGGGGGATTACCAACAAAAAAAATTTGGAGGCCTCATTGGCGAAAATGCGCCTTGGGTTATAACCTGTTTTGGTTTACAAACAGACCTCCAGAACGGATTATGATTGTAAACCAAGGTACCACTGTACTTGTTTCATCCTTCAAAATCCATGTAACAACTCGTGAGTTGAGAGAAATAAGGAGGCAACAGAGATTTTCTTATTTGATGATTGCACCGTGCAAACTGTGGCCCCACCTACTTTTCTTCTGGAGCCTATTAAAAATGTCTTTCTCAGCAGCTGCCTGGCAAAAAAGAAAGAAAAAAAGAAAACAGTTGCTTGAGTTCAGTCAACCTTATTATTTTCTTTTCAGGTGTGTGTGGTGTCAGCAAACCGTACACGATGAATGTATGCAGAGCGCTTTGAAGAACGGGACGTGTGAGCTAGGAGAATTTCGCAACTTAATTATTCCTCCATATTACTTATTCAACGTCAGTCAGATGCGAAAAGACAAAAGAGTGGACTATGGCAAGGTAAGCCTCGCTCTAGAGCTGCATCAGAGATGGGGAACCTATAGCCCTTCATAGGATGGAGGAGAACATCGTGCAAGTGGGAATTAAAAAAGAAAAACCAGGAAACCATGGTTGCCCCTTTACATCCCAACCAAGGGAGTGTTTTTTTCCTCTCTGTCTGCTGCTGACTTGCTGGCCATGGTTTGATAGAGGGCAACAAATTACAAACACTGGTTTGCACATAATATAAAGCCAAGGCTTCCAGATTTCTTTTATTTTGCTAATACAGTGGTAGGAGGCAGCAAAGCAAGTGCTGTTGGTATGCTGTTTATTCCAGATAAACCATGCTAACCCAATGTTCGTGGCTCCATTCCATCTGAAGGATTAGGTAATAATCTCACGGAGTTCTTCCATGCTGTAGGAGCTGTTGATCCTTTGAAGATGTCACTGGCATAAAGTTTGCATTAAATTTGCATAAAATACAGACACACAAATTAGCTTATGTGATTTAGCCCTTAAATATTGTTTGGAAGTGAAAAAAGCATTTTGTCTAAACTGCAAAGCTGTTTATTTTGCTGTAGCTTTTTTCTGAAATATTATTCTAAAGGGTTCAGTCTCTCTTTCATAGTTTCAGTTAGTTACCCAACAATGAAATAAGAAGGGAAAGAACCAAGTGCTTTTTATCTGCTTCATCACACAGATCTGCATGCAAATACTTACTTGTTTGTTTCTGTTCTGCAGCTAGCTGCCTCCTGTGGGAAAAACTGGACTCCCCTAATCATTCTGGCTAATACTCGGAGTGGAAACAATATGGGGGAAACATTGCTTGGGCAATTTAAGATGTTACTAAACCCAATTCAGGTAATTGTATTCATTCATTGAAATTGTTTTATTGTTGAATCAATCTTATTGCTGAGTGGGGGGGGGGAATGATATATTTTAAACACATTATGCTAAAGACCCTCAGGGTACAATCCCAAACATGCTTTCTGGGGAATAATCCCCATTGAACACAGTAAAATTTAGCAAAACATGCACAGGACAGCATAGTGTAGTGGTTAGAGTGTCACACTAGAACTGAGGAAACATCTTGGGCTGGTTACTGTCTCAGCCTAAATCTACCCCATGGCAAGTTTAAAAGGAAGGGAACATGCCCTACTACTTAGTTGCTTGAAGGAACAGCAAGACATGACCATAGTTATAATAATTATACCCTGTTGTCATGTTTTAGAACTAAGCATAAATTGTGTTTTGAGAAGCCTGATCTTCCTGAAGTAGTACTACAGCCTTGCAAATCAATTCACAGAAGTTTTAGCCTACAGCTTTTTTAGCAACTAATTTTGCTGTATATGTGTGGCTTTAAAAACATCTAATGGAAGGTCTACTTAAAGAAAATGGAAACTAGGGTGTGGGTCATAGGAAGTAAATGTTTAATTTTTAAAAAATCTTGATGCAACTTGAAACAGGCATGAGAAATTATGGGCTGGGGGGGGTGAGGTGTTTGTATCATTGCATAGGAGCCTTTCATTACAGATTCCTTTTCACAAATTGTAAATGACCAAAAACAAAACATAGAATCCTTCTTACCCGACCTCCCCAGAATAAAAACCCCTGGCTCTTGTTTACAAAAAACAGCAACCATGCAGTGCTGTGCAGGTGAACATTTACATCTCCTCTCTGTTCTGCCAGCTTAAGCTAGAGTTCTCTAGAAAGAATTTTTTGTTGGCTGGGCTTGACCTTAGAATGTGTGAAGAAAGAGGATCTCTGAAAAGGTTCCTTTCCCCCTTCTTACTTTTAGTACATCAAGTAGCCACAAACAATTCTGCATAACCCTCAAACCTCACACAAACACACTTTCTGTTCCAAGCTGTTTTGTCTGAAGGCTTTTGCTACAGAAACTGCAGGTGCCTTAAAACCATTCCTTGGGTTCTTAGGCTTCTGCTTGAAGACAAGGACAAGGTAAACAGGATGGGGCTTGTGCGGGGCGGGGGAGTAGACACTTTCTATCCAAAGCTGGACAAAATTCACAGTATGTACATATTCACAGAGCATACACCATCTTCTGACCTGGGTCTTAATTAGGCTTGCCATATTTCAAAAAGTAAAAACCAGGACACCCTTTTTTTAGGAAGAGCCCAAAATTACTGAGCTTTTTTTAATGAAAATGCAACAAAAAACCACCCAGATTTTCCAGTTTACTTGCTGAATATCCAGGATAAACTGCTGCCTTCCGGAAATCCCCGCCCAGGACGTCGCTTCCACCTTTGAAATCCTGGTAATATCTGGGAAATCCCAGGCATATGGCAGCCCTGTCTTTATCTGTTGAATTGGTTCTGTGGACATAGGGTGGTCCTTGGTTATCATTTGTGGCCAGGGGCAACACAACGACTCCCTCCCCTTAAACGTGCCGTGCTGTTTTGTGACCTTCCATTGCCAGTTGTTATGGAGTTCCTGTGCTTTCCTGCTGATCAGGCTGTGTGCACAGCAGGATTTAATCAAATGTGCTACATGGCAGCAAACGTATCTCCTACAAAAAAAAGAGCGCAGCACATTGTTGTGTTTACTCTTACAGATTGGACACTGCACAGTTGTTTTGTGCAAGCCTTTTGCACTATGGTTACACTGCACATGGAGAAAGGCCCTTCTTGTTTCTCCGTTTTAAATTGGTCAGGAATGTTAAATGTGTTTTTAGAGGAGGAGGAGGAATGGGTGCTGGTTTTTCCCCTCTCTCTGCATTGTGTATTTTCTTTCTTCGTTGTTTGTTTCAAAGCCGCACTAAAATAACCCACTTGCTTTTGGAAACACTTGCAGCATTCTTCCTACGTTTTGTGCCTTGAACTCAACTTGGCATTGGCACAGGATGCTCTGACAGGAGCCTTTTGTTCCTTAAGTTTCCTGTTTAATTTTTTTAGTTCTCTTCCTCCCAAATCTCAAATGAGTTTTTAAATCTAGGGGAGCCAGGCTTTTGAAATTCTCTGTGCAAACAGGCTGTGTCGCAAGTAGCCTCAAAGCGTAACACACCTAACGTATTCAATAATATCTTATCTCGCTTGTAAAGACAAGGCAGAAAATCATCGCTATATAGATGGAAATTCTCTTTAGGCACAATTAGATTGTAGTGTATCAGTGCATCGTTTTGCTGTTTGCTTTCTTATCATAGTGACAATATTTGACCTGTGAAGTAAAATATTTCTGACTGCCATTTTAGGAATAAGCTCCTTTTTAAAAGGTACAAAATAATAATAATAAACCTGTCTCTTATTTTGTATCTAATTTCAAGTCTTAAAAGGTATACCGCTCTGGTATTTTGTATGTTTGGTGGTTTATAAATCCTTGCCGTTAAACAAATAAATTCTATTTAATTTCCAGATTTTTGAACTAACCAAAACAACACCTGCAAAAGCACTGCAGCTCTGCACTTGGTTGCCTTGCAATTCTGCTAGAGTACTTGTCTGTGGTGGAGATGGCACCGTGGGCTGGGTCTTGGATGCGATTGATGACATGAAGATCAAGGTATGGTGTCCCAAAGTGACTTGGCAACCCACTGATTTCTTCGCACTCCCATCTGTGCCAGGTTCACCTGACCCAGTAAAGGTAAAGGGACCCCTGACCATTAGGTCCAGTCGTGGCTGACTCTGGGGTTGCGGCGCTCATCTCGCTTTATTGGCTAAGGGAGCCGGTGTACAGCTTCCGGGTCATGTGGCCAGCATGACTAAGTTCTGCTCTGGCGAACCAGAGCAGCACACGGAAAAGCCGTTTACCTTCCCGCCGGAGCGGTATCTATTTATCTACTTGCACTTTGACGTGCTTTCGAACTGCTAGGTTGGCAGGAGCAGGGACCGAGCAACGGGAGCTCACCCTGTTCGGGGATTTGAACCACCGACCTTCTGATCGGCAAGTCCTAGGCTCAGTGGCTTAACCCACAGCGCCACCCGCGTCCCTACCTGGCCCAGTACTGCAGGCCAAACAACCCATGTCATCACTTTACTATATGCTCCCAGAGTAACTTTAATCTGCCTCCTTTTTTCCTTTTTACCAGGAGTACCATTTAAAACTTTTATGGGGGGGGGTGTGGAGAATGTTCTCAGCAACGTGTAGCCTTGGATTTCTCCAAACTTTTAATGGCACAAAGGCCATTTATAAGTGCATAAAATTATAAATTAATTCATTAGAAATAAGTGAAAAGTGCTTATTCCGGAGAGCATTTATGAAGGCTACCTTTTCATATTTCTAAATAAGACTGCCATAGGTCATTGTCAAAGGTTCCATAATATTCAGCCCTCCTCTCTCCCCACCCATATGTTGTGCATGGGCACATTTAATTGTTCCACAACCCTTGCTCTGTGCTTCTAACACACAGTTTCCCAAAATGGCACCCTGTCATTTTTCCTGTTTCATTCTTCACTACTGCATATTTTGCTACTGCTTGATTTTTTCCAACAAAGAACTGCCTGCTTTTAGGTGCATTTGGTCGCTGGTGTGGTTTTAGTTCTGCTATATATTTTTTAGGGCATTGTTTTTATTTTGTGACAATTACCTTTTTCGTGACTGGAAAGGATGTTTTGTTGGGCGTTATTGTCGGGTGATCAGTTCCAATGTGACTGATCTCAAAGGTGGTTATAATACTTCACTTGTTTTCCCCACCTCAAAGACTATCATAGCTTTGGAAGCAGGTTGCAGACACCCCAAGGAACCCCGTTTTTCCATTTGAGAATCCCTGTTTATATAGGTTTCTTACAAGCAGCTGATTTCAGGCTCCCATCCTTCTTTATTATTATTATTATGATTATGATTATTATGATTATTCCGGTCTGGTCTCTCTCTATTTGTTGGTATCTAAAATATACATTCCAGGGACGCGGGTGGCGTTGTGGGTAAAAGCCTCAGTGCCTAGGGCTTGCCGATCGAAAGGTCGGCGGTTCGAATCCCCGCGGCGGGGTGCACTCCCGTTGCTCGGTCCCAGCACCTGCCAACCTAGCAGTTCGAAAAGCACTCCCGGGTGCAAGTAGATAAATAGGGACCGCTTACTAGCGGGAAGGTAAACGGCGTTTCCGTGTGCTGCGCTGGCTCGCCAGATGCAGCTTTGTCACGCTGGCCACGTGACCCGGAAGTGTCTCCGGACAGCGCTGGCCCCCGGCCTCTTGAGTGAGATGGGTGCACAACCCCAGAGTCTGTCAGGGGTACCTTTACCTTTACCTTAAAATATGCATTTAAAGGTAGAGAAGAGGAAAGTTACATACCCTTTCCTTTGATTAGTATTATAATTTTGTCATCTGCTCTCTTTAGCCTTCCACCTGTAACATTGAATAGTAATTTTTGAACCTGGTTTCCAGTTAATGGTGTTTTTAGGCAGTCTTTTATCTTCTGGGATTAAATTTGAGGAGTTGCCAACCATGTAAAATCAAGAGCCTTAATGCTGAATCAATACTTCTGTTTGGCAGGGCCAAGAGCGCTACATCCCACAGGTTGCGATCTTACCCTTGGGAACGGGAAATGATCTGTCAAATACACTGGGCTGGGGGGCTGGCTATGCCGGAGAGATCCCCGTGGAGCAGATTCTGCGCAACGTGATGGATGCTGATGGAATCAAGCTGGATAGGTGAGCTTCCAAGCACGCCATCTCTAAGATCCTTGCTTGTTCCTCCCACCCTCTAACCTCTCTAAAATATCACTATAGGGGAACTGATACGTTGAGTTCTGACATCTGTCCTCAGTTCTGTGCATTGCTACAGCTCTGTTTCAATGCCTGCCTGAATCATATCTAGTTCGAAATGTTTTAGTGGTGTGAGTAGTTATGATTAATTTAATTTAACCAAAAAAGATTAAACCCAGGGCTGAGTGGGGAGGGCGGTCCAATTAAAAGGGGGAAATGGTTACAGGTCACATAGGAAGCAGCTGTACATGGAAGCAAAGCCCATGGTGATTAGAGATCAGGGAGCCCTTCAATAAGCTGCTTTGCAGAAACTGAATGTCTCATTTTTAATCCAAATGCAGGCAAGTACAAGCGGAGCATTTCCAGTTTATAAAACTGCAGCAGGATTTCAATGGGTTTAGGTACTGGGGGCCCCATGGCATACGCTATCTGTTTTTATTTCTTTATATAAAATTTGTTCTCTTGTACACGCTTTCTTTTTTTTTTAAATGATATTTATTACTTTTCCAACAATTTAAACACAACACTACAAAGAAAAAAGAACAAAAGAACAAAACAATACAGTACAATACAAAAACACTACATAACACTGACACATTAAACTAACATAACCAAACAAAAACAGTTTAAAACACATCAAACAATTTCAATATCTTATCTTTCATTCACTTATTTCCGCGACCTCCTCACACCTCCCTTTTTGTATTCCACTTCTATTAGTTGTTTCAGCAATTCCTTTCCATCTTCCTCTGTTTTCTATCCTATAATTATCTTAACACATTCTAACCTTTTTTTCCCCTTTAATACTCTATTAATCTATTTATACTTAATTCCTTATAACATTTCTACTAAAGCCATATCACTTCATTCCAACATTCTTCTAGCATTCATTAATTTTACAATGTTTCAGAAACAGAAACATCTTGTACAGGCTTTCGAGGCTTTGAGATGTTAGGTGGTCTCTAAATGGAATCACAGAGTTGGAAAGGGACCCCAAGGCTAATCGTCCAGTCCAGCCCCCTGCAATGCAGGAACCTTGCCCAATTTGGGGCTCAAAATCCACGACCCTGAGATTGAGAGTCTCATGCTAAGATATAGAACTTGCTAACGCAAGTCAGGAAAGATATCATTAAACAATATATCCTCTCCTGCATCCCTGAACATTCCCACATGTTTGAGAATTTGGCTTTGGAATGCAAACAAACATGTACAATCTGCACCTTTTGTCCCCTTCTGTAGGTGGAAGGTTCAGGTAACAAACAAAGGATACTACAACTTAAGGAAGCTTAAGGTACGATTTGGAAATGTGTGCATGTATTTAATCGCTCTAAGCTCTATTTATTTATTTATTCAGTCCATGAAAGCGGACAGGGGATCTGTCGAGGTCAAATGTAATGCCCAGGGAAGTCGGTATATAAATATTGTATACAAGATAAGACTGTGCAGCTGCTGAAAGGGATTCTAATCCATGGACCCTAGAATTAATCTCTCTCTCTGCTTTTAAGGTAGCCCAGGTCTCTAGTTTTTGCTACAAAGAACTAACACAGCCACCTTCTGGAGTTTGCATTGCTCTTTAAAAATATCCCACAACCATCTCTGTCATGTATTTTCTGTCATTAAAAAACACTGCTTGGTCACCAATGGACACCTTCTGGCACTGAAACATCTTGGTCCTATGGGTTGCTGGGATTTTTGGAAAGAATAGAGGACTAGTTAAATTGTGGATCCAGTAAGCTGCTGCTTAATCAATCATGGTTCCTCAGGACCTCTGGATTCAGCTTAGTTATACCCTCCAGGGGTGGGACTGCATTGGGCTGTGTGAAGGGAGACTTCTGTTCCATATACTACCACCCTCCAGTGAGTGGATCAGGAGTTCGGACAGCTGCCTAAATCACATTGTGCAGTGGTACCTTGGTTGTTGAATGGCTTGGCTCCCAAACAAATCAGCTCCCGAACACCGCAAACCTGGAAGTGAGTGTTCAGTTTGCAGACATTTTTCGGAAACCAAACATCTGACGTGGCTTCCTATTGAGCTCCTACAGCCAATCGGAAGCCAGATCTTGATTTCTGAATGGTTCTGGGAGTCAAACGGACTCCTGGAATGGATTAAGTTTGACATCCACTGTATAAATTTTTCTACGAACATAGAAAACTTTAAAAAATAAAATAAATCTGTTAAAGCAACAGTTTTCTGAGTGGGATCTACTTCTGAGGAAGATCAGGATTCACAACAGCCAAGTGCTAAAACTGTTAATGCTTCTCCCTCTTCTTGCAGGTCTTCACAATGAACAACTACTTTTCCACAGGTCCAGATGCCCTCATGGCTTTAAACTTCCACACCCATCGTGAGAAGTCTCCCTCTCTCTTTTCCAATAGGATTATTAACAAGGTACGTCGGGTAAAACCAAAGCTTGTTTTAATACTTACCTTTTCAGAACCCTAACATTTAATTTTAAACATCTCCAAAAGAAGTTGTGGTAGCAAAACTAAAAGCTCCCCTGTGTGCAGGCTTTCTTTTTCACAACAGTCTTTCTTTGCAGGCGGTATATTTTTTCTATGGGACCAAAGATTGCTTAGTACAGGAGTGTAAGGATTTGAACAAAAAGATTGAGGTAAGATGGTTGTTTCCTCCTCTTCATACTTAATTCATTTTACAGTAGAGCTGGGCAGAGAAACCAACTCAGAGATAATAAATCCAAAATGCCCTTGGAGAGCAAAAATGATTGACCCTCTGTGCAGATGAGAATTGGAGGTTTGTGATGGGCCTCGGCCAATAATGGGATTATTTGGCTTGGCCTCACTCCCCATAGTCTTCTCACTTTTACTGAGCCAAAAAAAGGAGGTTGTCTTGAACCCTCAGAACTCTTCGGTGTAAAATGGCAGCATTAGAGTCCCTTCCTGAAATATCCAAAAGTCTAGCTTTGAATTTGCTCTTGGCAATGTCTTCTTTTCTTCTTCTCTGGCAATCACTTGTAGGCGAGTAAGATTGTCTTCCATAAACATGATTTTAAAAGTGAGTCTGTAAGTGACTGTGGAGGCCGATTCTGGATCCACACATCCTTCCACAGTGGGGACATAGATTTCTGGGCAGGAGTTGATCATGGTGAGGGTTTGCCAAGCATGCCTTGCTCTTAGCGCATTTCTCCCTTTTCTCCTGAGTTTGAGCGTCTTCAAAACCCATGACACCTTTGGTAAAGGCTGTTCTCCAATTGGAGCGCTCGCAGGCCAGTGTTTCCCAGTTTTCAGTGTTTATATTACATTTTTAAAGATTTGCCTTGAGAGAGTCTTTGAACCTCTTTTGTTGACCACCAGCATTACGCTTTCCGTTTTTAAGTTTGGAATAGAATAGTTGCTTTGGAAGATGATAATCAGGCATCCACACAACATGACCAGTCCAATGAAGTTGATGTTGAAGAATCATCGCTTCAACACTGGTGATCTTTCCTTATTCCAGTACACTGGCGTTAGTTCACCTGTCTTCCGAAGTGATGTGTAAAAATTTTCAGAGACACCGTTGATGGAATCTTTCAAAGAGTTGGTGATGGCGCCTCTCTCTTGCCAATGTAACTTGCTAACAATCTGTTGTATCTCTTTTAAAGCTAGAGTTGGATGGAGAGAGAATTGATTTGCCCAGCTTGGAAGGCATCATAGTTCTGAATATCGCCTACTGGGGAGGTGGCTGTAGACTGTGGGAAGGAATGGGGGATGAACTTTACCCTCCGGCAAGGTAAGATTATATACGCTTTTGTACATGATCTGTGTGCATTTGGTAAAAGTTTTGGGGCCCGTGCATCCAGGGGTTTGCTCACTTTGTGGGGACTTGTAGACTTGTTTTGCAGCATCATGCATACTGGACTGCTGAAGCAGCAGAAACATTTTGAAGCAGTATGACTGAAGTGTTCTTCTATGACGAGTCGTGTTTAAAGTTGTGCTTATAATGGTAAGAAGCTCCCCTTTTCTCTCTCTTAGGCATGATGATGGGCTGCTGGAAGTTGTCGGAGTCAATGGCTCTTTTCACTGCGCTCAGATTCAAGTGAAACTCGCAAATCCCATTCGGCTGGGACAGGCCCACACTGTGAGGGTAGGTGATAATTTCAGAGTGTGCCTCCAGGGCTGCTTTCTATGCTCTTGGTCCAGCCTTCTGGCACTGAGCCTGGAAGTACAAGCAGCAGGTACCTTGGCTCCATCTTCATCTGGAAGCTAATCCTCAGGTTGTTATGAGGGCCACACATATCTTGTGGATTCCAAAGTCACTTCAGTCTGTTGTGTGGACAGACTGACCAAAGCAGAGGAGGACCTTCAGGAGGATGCTGTGTGACTGCATTGTATCTTTAAAAATAAGTGCTAGGCATGTGCTTTTGACTGGTGGCTTAGTTAACTCTTGGCTAACCAGCCTAGTACTTTTTTTTCTGCAGCAGGCAGTCAGCAGAGTTCGTGCCACTTAATTTTACTGGGGCATTGGTAGCGTTACACCCCAAATAGTGGCTTCAGAGCAACCTGTTCAGTTTCAAGTGACATTCTAGGAAACTCACAAACCATACATATGGAAATGCTCTCTCCATAATCTACAGTCTTGGGGGTTGATTTGAAAAATGGGGTGGTTGCTTACTTGTTTAAATCTACTAAATCTACTTGATTAAATCTACTATTTTTAGGACCCCCCCCCCGCCCGTTTTAGCTGGAGAAGCTAGGACAGGTTGCAATTCAACTTAAAAACATAAGATACATCCAAAATATATTTTACTCGTGGATTTCTAGCCTGCCTTGTCTCAGGGGCTGGGGACCACTAATGGCCTTTAACAAATGCAGTGGGTTTTGCTGTTGTGAAATAAACTCAAGTAGCATGAAAGAAAGAATAGGGACGGAAGGAAACAGGAATCCCCTTTCATTATCTGTATGTCACCCTGCTGGTTTGAGCCAAGTCTCCTTTTTCCACCCGTCTAAACAGTCTTGAGTTGAACAGCTAGTTGCCTCCTTCCTCCCCTCAAGCCCCCCTTTTTAACTCCCCTTTTCCCATTAAATGCCAGTGAAGTTTATTTTTTGCCCCTAAACTTTCTCTTGCCATTTAATAAATGCCATGAGCTGATCTGCTACCAGACATTAAGCACCCTGCACTAGTTCATTTGCCTGGCCTGACACGGCTTTCAGGTTTTGCCGTCTCTGCAGTGGTTTGACTTTGCTTCTTTTTCTTTACGTACCTTCCCAATTCCAGTTAATCTTGAAGAATTCAAAGATGCCAATGCAGGTGGACGGAGAGCCCTGGGCACAAGGCCCTTGCACTGTCACCATTACGCACAAGACGCACGCGCTGATGCTCTATCACTCAGGGGAACAGACAGACGACGACGACGTGTCCAGCGTATCCGAACAAGAACTTGCCAAGGATCAGACAGATGAAGATACCTAGGTCTGGGCCAGGTTTTTGGCATGCTAAAAATGGTAACTCCAGCTTGGCTTTGGCTGAAAAGCTTAGCACTAGATATTCCGTCTCCAGTAAACCTCTTAACGCCATGCCAATCTCTGTACTTACAACTGGCACAGGAGTAACTAAGCCATGCTTTTAGTGAGATAGCGATATAGATATATATAAAAGCTGAACCAGGCTTAAATTCAGCAAGCACTTTTACTCTGGTTTATAGCACCAAGCTGAAGCAGGTGGAGAAAGAAACTTTCATGGTTACTTTACACTGACTGCTCTGCAGACTGAATGCCACCTTCTGTAGGCTTTCTCTCAGAGTTTGTGTATAGTCCTATGGACTAGCTGCTGGTGTCTGTGATGTCTAATTGTGTAGATTTGAAGAGCATGAAGAAATGTCGTTTGGGGACATATGGGCTCAGTGCTGATAGGCGCCTGTCTGATCGCTTGAGAACCCTGTGGACTCAAGTGCTCCTTTTCCATCCCATTTTTCTCATGAATTCCCCCTTCCTTTCCCTTCCCTCCTCCTCCTTCTTTGAGCCAACCCTGGTGCTAAGTCGTATCAGCACCAGGGTTTTCACTACCCGTGGTTAGCTTTGAAAATGAAAGTGAATAGGGAATTTGCACGTGAGTGAAGTATGATGAACCACAGGATACTCTCGATGGGGCAAGCGCTATGTCTGCACCAGACCATGACTAGCTTCATTTTCAATAATAAAATCACAGCACCAGATGTTATTTGACTTGCACTTAGTGTCGCTAGGCCTCATAGATATTTAAAAACCATTGCATATCACAGCACTTGATATTATTACCTTCTTAGGTGATGAACAGAGAGAGTTCCTGAACAGTAAGTTGCTTATCTAACCAGTCAAGACCTGATAGATACTTATGGTTCTGGTTTTCAAAGAAGAGTATTCGTTTGACCAGTACGTAATGGTTCCTTCCTCACTGGCTGATCAGAGATTAAAAAGATGTGTTAGATCCCTGAATTATGCTTATACAAGACAATAGCAACAAATATTCTAGATGAAACTGTCCAGTGCAACTGTAGTCTTGTTTTCAGGGAAACAGATTTGCAAAATTCAGTAACCAAAGCTTCGCCACCTGACTGACAGTCCCAGTACTTGTAATTTTAAATTTCAAAGAATTCCTAAATAGCCTGTGAACGATGCACTGATTCCGTTCAGACCACTTTGAAAGAAGAACTCAAATGAGAACATATTATCCACTATCTCCGAGTCCAATCCCAAATTGCCTTCTGTTTGCAGAAGGGACTGCAATCCAGCAGGGACTCCTGATGGAAAAAAAGGAGGAGGCAAGTTTCATTTATTTCCCCCTCACTGTTCCAGGGTGTCCCCTAACCTTCCAAAGTAGATTTTCAGGGGGCTGTAAATTGAAACAGGAATTGGTGGAAATCACTCTTGCCACTGGGAAGCACACTCCAAGTCTGCTTAGGTTACAGATACTTTTTTGTTTTTTGCTTCTTGTTCACAAATCCCACTGAAACAAACCAAAGTAGCACAAGGATAGAAATTCCTCCTTGTTTCAGTGAGGCTTGTGGAGGGATACATTCCTGGCATAATATGCCTTTGGTCTTAACACTGAATTATTCTTTCCCCCTTAGGAAAGATTCCCAACTCCATGTGTATGTGTGGTAGTACTTCTAAGAGACCGTTTAGTAATGCACGTTATTCACTTGGGTAGTATAATTACAAGTTTTAGAAACACTAGCTTGTATAGCTTAAATTAAGAGTGCCCCCATTCTCCTTTTGAGCGAAGGAAAATTACGTCTAGAAATCAGGCAAGTTTCAATATTGGTGATATAGTTTAATAGTCTTGGGCTGGAGCAGACTATGTAAATTGACAGACCAATTATTATCTGTTGAAGTCAGGGTGGTTGTGTGTTAGTTTTTGTGTTAAACCTTTTTTCACTGGACTGATTTTGCCGGTCAACTAGTTGTATTCTTAAGCTATTTGTAGCGTTAGCAGCGTGCTTGAAGGTCCATTTGACTCCATGTATGTCTTCCGTTGCACAGGACAGTTCCCAAATATGCATGGAATGAATATGTTGTGTTATTGAGAGAAATGCACGCCAGTGATAGCCAGGACTTCATGGCCGGGGTATCATTGCTGTAGGACTTCTTGGTCAGCACCGGTCTCTCGATAACCATGTCCAAGAATTTGTTCTATGGGGAACATCACTGCTCAAAAAGACAAAAGGGGCCTTCAATCACCACCTGCACCTTGTTGAAAATGGTTACAAATTCTTGTGTACCATCTTAGCTGATAAGAACAGCAAAGAGGTATATGAAAAGTCATTATCCGTGTCCTCAAAGCACTTGACCAAGAAACAGATTCCGAGCTGCTAGGTGGATGTTAATAGAGACCTAACCATTTGATTTCTGTTCTTATTTATTTGAATGATTCCTATGTAAGTGCTACGCTCTGATTTTGAGTGTCCTGGTGTTTACATAGTAGGCATTTCTGCAAGTGGATTCCGGAAATAATCTGCTGAATATGCTTTACCGTTTCCTACTGAAGAATGTATTATTAGTTCAGCACCTTGGAGAGGTAGCAATGCACTTTCACCTTTATTCTTCTGTTACCTGGACCATTTCATTCTGCCAGACTGCAAGGACATTCCAGCTTTGAGTTGCTTCCTGTGCCATCGTACTATTCATCTAGCTATCAAGGGGCCAATCTGAGCAGCTGTTGGGCTCTGTAGGATAGGGTTGTAACACTCTCGTTCTGGTTGATGCATTCTCAGACCACCAGGAGTCTTCCAGGTGGGGTGGGCCCTTCTACTATACGATGCAGTTATAAGCAGGCTTCTCCAGTTTGTGAAATCTTACATTTGTCACGCTCTCTCCTGTTTCCATGCTTAATCCCTGTGCTCCTCATTACATCAAAACAACAGTGAGAGGTGCAAGGGCATGCCTGCTGCAAATAGAGGATTTCTCAGGCTGTTGGGTGTGTGAGCTGGTTTTAGTCTGTTCATGTGACGCTCCAGTTTGGTTTCAATATTTGTTCCTGTAAATCAGCTAGGGAACACACCCTTGAGAGGAAATATCAGCTCTTTTTTTAATTACTTAAACTACTGAATCTTGAACAAAATTCAACGGACTTGGCAACTCCCTCAAACAGTGCAGTTGATCAGTTATCCAAAAGGGGGTGCTCAGCTACTGAGTTACAGCTCTAACATGAGCTGTGGTTTCCCCACTCAAGTAGTTTACATTATGACTAGATTTGTAAGAATCTGTTGTTGTTTAACACTTCCTGATCTTCTGCTGCTGCTGCTACTAACCACCCAGAGTGGCTGGGACAACCCAGTCAGATGGGTGGGTACAAATAATAAAATTATTATAACCTGGAATGAACAGTTATTGCATTAAGATGTGGCAAGCTGTGTGGAATGCCCATATCACACAGACGTTCCATTTGATTCAGGTGATCTATTTGCCTATCTGGCAGCTTTTCGCACCGCTATGGTGCAGTGACCACTTGGATGTGTGGCTGTCTGGATGGTGTGATGAGTGGATAAGCCCTTGGCTGCTGTAATGTGCAAACCTTCTAATGAGCGACTAGAGATAAGGCAGAAACAGCTACCAAGAAGATTGCCACCCCTTGCTTCTGTCATGGCATTGGGAGTATATAGTAAATATCCTGGAGCAAAGTTCTCCAAAACCATTGGCAATACTTAAGTAGCTTCAGCCTCTCTAACCAGCAAGAGTGAAGTGAATTAAAAGTTACTGCTCCCTGGCTAGTGGAACTTTACAAACTGGTTTTGGATAAGACTCAGAAGAGCAAACAGACACACATGGTCTTGCTTTTTTAGAACTCTCTAAGGAAGTCTTTTTTTAATTTAAAAAATGGAAATTGTTGGATTGTGTGAAATACTTTGCTACTGAAATAAAGCGATTAAAGCACTGATGTCTAGTTGCTTTTCGAGTTTATTCTTTTTAGAACAATTTGTATGATATGATCTTTTACAATCCGCTGCTTAATGTCGTCGTGAGAACCTAGGCCAATGAGAAACGTAGACCTGTCTGTTGTCTGAGCTTATATGGTCTGCATCAGCTAAAATAGTCCCCTTTTAACTTGTAAGTCAAAGTCCACCTTATATCTGAGTACTTTACATAGCTTTCCACCCCTCGCCCTAAGAGGGGAAAAAAGGGTTGTATCTTATTTGTAGTGAAATTAGGGCTGGTTGTGATGGTGACATTCCTGGCACATCTCAAGGCAAAAAGCTGGGAGGCAAAAACCAGGAGTCCTCTCCTTACTGGTCAGAAGTAAATCTGCTGCACAGAACTTGGGAGGATTCCCCCAAATGATCCACAAGTTCAGAGCACCAGCCTCACAGCTCACTTGTGAGAAAGTGCCGCGCATTTCTAGCCATTTCAAATGCTGGAAGGCACTCAAATTCAGAAGTTAGTGTTGTGGTGCATGTAGAGAGCAGCTTATGCGCAGGGTCCCTCATTCGAGAGAATGAGAAGCCAGCAGATACCTGAGCACAGGGACGCGTGTTTGGGTGTTGATGCAAATGAGGAGCCTGTTGCAGGTAAGAAGACTTGAGGTGCCCCCTTGGAGCTGCTGCTTCTGATTCAGATTTGCTGCATTAGTTTTTATGCACTGAGCGAAGCGGTGTGCTTTGGTTATAGATACAGGGTGAGCACTGCTGCAGACGCAGCCCTCCTCTTCCGCCTCTGTAAGTGGCATGTAGGCCGAGTTACCTTGTATCCTTACAATAAGCATTTCCTTCCCTCTGCCCTTTCTGTTGATGGCAGGGAAATTCTCAGCCGCATGATACCAACACATAAGTTGGAGTAAGCATTCCAGATGGGGCGCTGGGAGTTTCAGCCCTGTGGCCCTTTATAAGAGTTCTTCCGAAAGGTTAACCGTTTACGCTATGTCAGGTAAATTTTAGAAAAATTCTGCTCCCTTTCGAGTGCAAACTGTCCTGCCATGTCGTTCCCCGTTGCAAATGAGATGTCTCATTTGTTTGCCCTCCAGTACCAGCACTGCATCTTTCTCAGGTATTTTTTTATAGATATATAATTTATGTTTGCTTGAGGTATTTGCATTCTAGGTTGTGTCTCTTTGTTTTTCCAAATGCACACACTTCTAAAATGGCTGTCTTTAAATGTGAGCTATTCTACCTTGCAATGCTTTCCTTCTCGTGGAGCGGGGGGCGGGGAGTGCTATTTTTCAGAAGGTGTGCGTGCTGTCCGCATGTTCAGTTTGTGTCAACCAAAAGTCCCTAACCACTGTACTTGATTGTCTTTGAATTTGTCTTCAGGTTAACTAGTTGAAACATAGAAGGCGTGCAGAAATAATTAGAGCGTGCAAGTGGTGGCTGCTCATAGGGCAAGGATGGTGTTTCAAGGCCTTGTGTTCGCACTGCTTATTTTGAAAACTCAATGCCATTGGCATAGTGGATGCAGTTCCCTCCACTCACGATCGCTCCGTTTTCTTCCTGAGAGATGGTTGTTGCCCACCATGGTCTTTGCATAGCCAGAATTGTGCTTTCAGGCTGGGGTTATGTAGGAGAGGCATGGAGGAGTTAACCAGCTTTTTCCAGGATACACCCCATGTTTCTGATGGCATGGGGAGAGAGAAAGAGAGATGCTAGCCAAAGAACTGTCATTCTGGCTTTCAGAAGTTCAAGGGCATGTGTTAATCCCTAGTCTGGGGTCCTTTCCTAATGAGGAAAGAGCAACTATGTGGCCAAAGCAAATATCAATGATGCTGGATTTTCACCCCCAATGTGACTAGTGATTAGGGATGATGGAAGCTATATTCCAGCAGCTTTCAGGGGGCCACAGGTTTCCACTTCCCTGTGATACAGTCTACGTCCTTGCTTATGTTTGCTCACTTCTCACCATGTCCTCTTCTCCACAACTAACTCTTGGAGACTGCTTTCCATAAAAGGATGCCCCCCCCATTTTAACCGAAATTGTAGATATAGGTCTGATAATATTATAGTTCTAAATTATAATAAGGTGGAATGTAGCCTCTAATTATCGCCCCTTGACCTGGGAATTACAGCCCAATTTTAGCCCCTTGACCTGGGAAGTCGGCTTATAGCTGTGGCTGCCAGACTGTCACTCTTTTACATACCAAAATTTTAAGGTAGGGTACATTTTTGCAACCTGGGATGAAGTTCTGTTCTTTTTAATGGGGCTTAATTCTTAGTTAGCATGTGTAGGATTTCCCTCTAAGCCAGAGTAACTATCCCTAATAAGTCAGTTGTGGTTGTAGGTCTCTTTCTCTCTCTCTATCTCAGTGGTCTCTGAAACCCTCAGATAGCTCATAGCTGAAAGGTGAAAAGGTAAAATGACATGTCTTGCTTTTAACCACATCATACCCTTTGGATAGGTGCTGTCAAGATGTGGTTGAAACATGAATGTGTTCATCATTGAATGTGTTCTCTCAAAGAGCTTTGAGAGCTTAGGTGGAATGATAACTCAACCACACCTTCCCCTGGGTGGAATCCAGTTTCACAAGGGTGGCTTAAGAGTTTTTTGGGGGGTTTTAATGTCAGGCTGGTGGTCATACTCTGATTTTAGAAACCTGCTGTTCCATGTCAGCACATCTGAGTTGCCACCGCAGTGTATAGCTGTTGTAAATTATTCCAAACGTCTGACCTGCTTTTCGGGGGCTTGGGGCGGCTATCCTACATGTGGGCATTCTTGGGTTTTCAGCGTTTAAGTGAGATTCCGCTTTATCACATCCCAGAGATCCAGAATCAGGGAAGTGACTAATGCTTAGCTTTCACGGGTTACAGGTGAGGCAGTCAAAATGTTCCTGAACTATAGTCTCTCGGACTGCAGGTGGCAGATTACATAGAAGGATCATTTTCCATTGGGGGAGAACCATTTCTAGTTTTGTACGTACCTGTGAGCAGGCTAGGCTAGAACCCCTTTCCTTTCTATGTGCACGAATATCTTTTTCCATGAAAGAAGCCTTCAGTCTGAAGTGTTCAGGAACAGCTCCTCTCAGTGGGAACCAGGCCTCAGAGTCTGAGCTGAGACACCCAGGACTCGCTGGGTGGCATCTTTTCACCCTCTGCTTATCTTCTATTTAAGGTGGGGATGAGAATACCATTCTGTATTAAAGGAATGTTGTGAAAAGTACTAAGATGACATGAGGCAATCCTTCAGAATATTCAAAGTGATTTGTGAAACAGAATTTTAACCTGCACAGCTCCCAAGTCCTACAAGCCGTCAGAATCGGTTTTAAGAGTTCTCTGTACATCTTTCTTTCCATGTTGCTGCACAGGTGATGTGCTAAAAAGAAACCTCTTGTCTCCTCTTTTTTTAAGGGACCCTGTTTTCATACTTTGGAGAGTTGCCAGGTTTCCTTTTGTTTCTATCAATCGGTCTGTTTGTTTGTTTGTTTTCCTCTTGTGTGAATTTAGACCGAAGAAAATGTGTGTGGATCTGAATCTGTATTGTCTGCTCTTTGGTGAGACACTGATCTGAATTTGTTTTGTTTTGTTTACATCATCTGTTAATAAAAGATTGGCACCGAATGTTTGTGTCCTACTTTTTTAAAATGATAATGGTTTCCAATCAAGCAACCTATTAACAAAAATATGAATGGCCTGTGTCGGTACAGAAGAAGTGTGTGACATTTGATGTTATGTGGGCTCTAGTCTATGAAAGTGGTGCCACAATAAATGGTTGCTTTTGGGGTGCTGTGATGCTTTTTTGCTTTTGCAGCAATAAACAAGTAAACCTACTGCCTGGAATTTGCCACAAGTGAAAAGAGAAGAGCCACTAGTTCATTACGCAGATCATAAACTTTAAACAAGGGCTTTAGGGCAGACAATGTAGTTTGCCTGTGGTTGTTCCTGAGTTCAACTTTGGGCACCCCTAAATTGGATGGGAAAGACTTATTTCTGAAACCCTGGTGAAATAATAGTGGGCCATATGGCCTGACTCTGTATAATGGTGCTTCCTCTGTCCCTAAAGCAGGGGCTACTAACCTTGCAGCCCATATGATGCGTGTGAGCTCTCCAAAGTTTTTTGTGGGCCACCCCCCAAGGCAAAAATTGCCCTTTGAAAACAAAATCCAGACGCCTTCACAGGTCCCCTGCTGTGATCAGTGATGCCAAAAGGTTGTTGTGAGAGAGCCCCCCCCAAAATGCATTTTTTAAAGAAGTAAGAATGGTCATAACCTTGCCAACAAAGGTCCGTATAGTTAAAGCTATGGTTTTCCCAGTAGTGATGTATGGAAGTGAGAGCTGGACCATAAAGAAGGCTGATCACCAAAGAATTGATGCTTTTGAATCCTGGTGCTGGAGGAGACTCTTGAGAGTCCCATGGACTGCAAGAAGATCAAACCTATCCATTCTGAAGGAAAACAGCCCTGAGTGCTCACTGGAAGGACAGATCCTGAAGCTGAGGCTCCAATACTTTGACCACCTCATGAGAAGAGAAGACTCCCTGGAAAAGTCCCTGATGTTGGGAAAGATGGAGGGCACAAGGAGAAGGGGACGACAGAGGACAAGATGGTTGGACAGTGTTCTCGAAGCTACAAGCATGAGTTTGACCAAACTGCAGGAGGCAGTGGAAGACAGGAGTGCCTGGCATGCTCTGGTCCAGGGGGTCACGAAGAGTCGGACCCGACTAAACGACTAAACAACAACAAGAAGAATGGTCACGTACCCTTTTTAAACTTTGGTCCCTAGGGATCAATCCACCCCTCTGCATGAAGAAGCCTAGCTTACCTTTCTAAAACAAATTATTCAGAGAGCTGCAAATTTTCTCTGCTCCCCCTCGTTGAAATGCTTAATGCAATAGCTAATAAGTGAATCTTCCGGTCGTGGGTTTTTTTACCCATGTTGTTCTGGTCCTAATGTAAACCATGGTTTGCAGGATTGGAGATGTAGTGTGGGTTTGCAACTCAAGTTTCAGTGGGCTGAATCCAGTGGTGTCGCTGTGCCGATGGGTAAGACTTGCATCCCCAAAACGTAGGGGATTTTTTTTGGTGACTTCCCCTTGCTGTCCAGTCCCCTGTATGCCCCCCATAAATTTGCTTGGGGGAGCCTCCTTCAGAGCAGATTTAAGGGAGGTGTGGGGGGCCTGCAAGGGGGGAGAGGGAATTGCTGAAATTGCTCCTGTCTTTTGCTAACCTTGTGATCAGGTGAGCAACACCATTGAATGCAATCCAATTTGTTCTTTCCCGGTTCTGGCAAACTCTAGTTTACGCCCCCATCCAAACCAGCAACTAGGTTCTGTGCTTGCCTTCCGAGTTAGGACAGAAAGGCCTATAGTTTGAAGCTGTTTTCCCATTACTTTTCTAATTTGTATTTCAAAATATTCATTTAAACAACCTTAATTCAATGACTTCCCTTCTTCTCTTTCCATGGTTCATTTTGCATACCATACAAAATATGGCATATTTTACATGAACTAAACCATTCAGTAATCCATTGTTACATCCACCAAAACTTATTTACACTGTTGAATTTATCTTAGTGCTGCCAGCATTTTCAAACGAACACAATTTTCACTTATATATCCTGTAAACATTTTCCAGTCTTCTTTAAACATATGTTCTTCTTTTTCTCTTATTCTATATGTTAAATCTGCAAGCTGCACATATTCCATCAGTTTTAAGTTGCCATTCTTCTTTGGTTGGGACCTCGCTCATTCTCCATTTTTGGGCTCGCAAAACATGGGCCGTGGTAGTAGCATACATAAATAATATTTTTTAACACCTGGGAATTTCCCTTTGAATTATCCCTAACAGAAAGGACTCTGGTTTTTTGGAAAGGTACTTTTAAACATATTTTCCCCCAATTCATTATATATCATTTCCCAATACTTTTTTTACCCTTCTAGAGGTCTACCACCGTCAACCTCATTTCATCTCCAGCACTTATCTGATTCGGACTTAAACATTTTAGCATGTCTAAAAAAAGGTAAAAGGACCCCTGACCATTAGGTCCAGTTGTGGCCGACTCTGGGGTTGTGGGGCTCATCTCGCTTTATAGGCCGAGGGAGCCGGCGTACAGCTACCGGGTCATGTGGCCAGCATGACTAAGCTGCTTCTGGCGAACCAGAGCAGCACATGGAAACACCGTTTACCTTCCTGCCAGAGCAGTACCTATTTATCTACTTGCACTTTGACGTACTTTCGAACTGCTAGGTTGGCAGGAGCGGGACCGAGCAATGGGAGCTCACCCCGTCGCGGGGATTCAAACCACTGACCTTCTGATCGGCAAGCCCTCTGTGGTTTAACCCACAGCGCCACCCGCATCCCTTTTAGCAAATCTACACAAAGTTAAATACCATCTATAAATCATTTTCAGGTTGTTGTGGTGTTTTCAGATGTAAAATATAAACCCGCACTGGGGTCCTCCCGCCCTCTCAAAGTGGTCTCCGCCATTTCCCATTTTCACTAGACCTGCAGTTGGGGGAAACGACCCACTGACAAACCCAACTAGCTGTGGATGTGGATGTCCACTGGGGAAGGGGGGATGGGCTGTGAGTTTGCTGGAGGTAGAAAGAGCGGTTCAGAGATCAAGTGCCTCAATGGCTTCTAATGGCAGCAGATGGGCTGGTTTTGAGTGCGGAGTACGTTGGGGCTGAATGAACCCTCCCGGGGGGTCACTTCATCATGGTGTCAGCATCCTCCCAACATCCTTTCCTTTCTGCTTCCCTGACTGATTCGGAACAAAGGAGGAGCTTTGGCATTTCGACTCCCGATATTGTGCCTGCGATCAGACCTTTTAAAAGACTATTTGCATGTAGCTTTTGATTCCAAAATGAGGTCGGGTCAGATACATTCAGCCGACGTTTTGCTCTGAGCGGCAGCATAATTTTCTCGAACCGAGCTTCAGAGATCACTATGCTGCCTTTGTTAGCACAAGATCTTAATGCCAGCTCCCTCCTTCCTTCTAAGGCTGGCAATCGCAAAATTATTTTTGTGTGACATATTAAAATCAACCTAAGTCCCCCATAGTGGGACGTGGGTGGTGCTGTGGGTTAAACCACAGAGCCTAGGACTTGCCGATCAGAAGGTTGGCGGTTCGAATCCCCGCGACGGGGTGAGCTCCTGTTGCTCGGTCCCTGCTCCTGTCCACCTAGCAGTTCGAAAGCACGTCAAAGTGCAAGTAGATAGATAGGTACCGCTCCAGCGGGAAGGCAAACTGTGTTTCCGTGTGCTGCTCTGGTTCGCCAGAAGCGGCTTAGTCATGCTGGCTACATGACCCGGAAGCTGTACGCCGGCTCCCTCGACCAATAAAGCGAGATGAGCGCCGCAACCCTAGAGTCGGTCACGGCTGGACCTAATGGTCAGGGGTCCCTTTACCTTTTAAGTCCCCCAGAATAGAGAAACAAAGATTCCCATCCCTTCTGAACTGCTATTTGTTTCAGCCTTCCCCACCAGTGCACCCTCCAGATGTTTCTGACCATGGCGAATGGCCGAGGATGATGGGAGTTGTTCAGCAACATCAGGGCTCACAAGAGACAATGCATCACATAATTTTGGATTGCCCTCTTCTCAACACCCATCGCAGAGATCTCCTCGTGACTCCCTTACAGCTCAGATTATCGATTTGCAAAGAGTCTGTAATTCAATATTTGTTGAGGGATGATACTCCAGAAACTACCAAGATTGTTTCGGGGTGCTTAGCCGAGATCATTGAAGCTAAATCTAAAATTGCCTGATTTATTCAGTGGTGGTTATCTAGTCTTTTTCTATATATTGTATGTGTTTGGGTTATCAATGTATTTGGATGAGTTTGTATGATTTTACTGTTTTAACTTATGCCAATAAAAGCTGAAGTAAAGGGTAAAGGGACCCCTGACCATTAAGTCCAGTCGTGACCGACTCTGGGGTTGCGGCGCTCATCTCGCTTTATTGGCCAAGGGAGCCGGCGTACAGCTTCCGGGTCATGTGACTAGCATGACTAAGCCGCTTCTGGCGAACCAGAGCAGTGCAAAAAAACGCCATTTACCTTCCCGCCAGAGCAGTACCTATTTATCTACTTGCACTTGATGTGCTTTCGAACTGCTAGGTTGGCAGGAGCAGGGCCGAGCAATGGGAGCTCACCCCGTCGCGGGGACTTGAACCGCCGACCTTCTGATCGGCAAGTCCTAGGCTCTGTGGTTTAACCCACAGCACCACCCGCGTCCCTAATAAAAGCTAGTTACAAGTTAAAATCTGGGCTTGCAAAGGCTGGCTTGTGCCATCTCATTTTTGGACCACAAGTGTATTTAAGTGATCAACCTCAGAAATTGTTAAACGAATTGACCAAACCAAAGCACTGGAAAACTGGCCTGTAACGGTGATGAACATTTAACAAGATGTTATCACTGCCATGCAACAGTTTTTAATGTTTGAATGAATGCTGCAGCTGACTTGCAATGCCACTTAGAATCTGATTATATTTGATCGGAAATGACAACACATCTCATCTCGAGTTATCCTACTACTTGCATGGGGGAGAGTTTTGTTTGATTCTCTAGCATGTGAAAAGAACTGTCTTCCACATTATGCTGTGAATCAAATATCTGCAAA